CTGTTTACACTAATCTTCATTCTGTTAGCAGTTAGATATAAATATGTCGATCAACAATATGGTAAAAAAGAAGATATAATAACTGAAGATACCGAGAGCAGTGACGAGTAGGACGGGAAATATATACGGCGTCTTTAGCATTTAACTATACAGCTTGTTTTTATTTAATATACAGTGAAAGCCAACAAACTTAAGTTTAATTCCAATGTAGCTTACCAACAAATAAGATATAAATATGTCAAAATACATACAAACAAATAATGATCTCTGAAGTTAGTTCTTTAAAATCCATTATACTGTTTAAAGAAAATTGAGTTAAAATTAGCAAAAATAGGCACACAAAAACGTGTCTTCATTTAAAAAAATCATAAAACGGTAAAAATTTTGGATCAATTTGTAAACGGCACTACTTATTTCTTGTTTTTCAACTTAAAATTTAAATAATACGACACATTCTATTAAAAGTCTTTATTTTAAGACGTGTAGAAATTAACTGAACTAAAACTAATCTCCCGAGTTTTTTGTGCCTCAAGTGGTTCCTTATCCCTTCGCTGGGACTGTTAGTTACGTATTCCTGAAGTCTGGGAACTGCGATAATCGTGGTGTTTTTTTTTTCTAATTTTTGAATTCTGTAAGACTTAAAGTCTTATCGATAATGTAAAGAGACCTAAAGGGATGACTCATTGCGCGGTCAAGAAACCGGACCCTTCCTTGTCTTTCGAAACGGTGTTAAAATTAGAGCAAGCGAATAGAGCATTCGAACCCTTCTCCCTGGGATGTCCTTGCCTCGTGCATGCGAAAAAAACAGAGTAAACGATGACTTGTTACTCGCCCTATAAAAGGGATTCGCGAATATCGCTAATTAATCAGTCGACAAGTCTAATCAGTTCAGTTGAGTCAATTGAAAAAGAAGCTACCAAGATACCTTGTGCCATCATCTGAGGCCAGAGCTGTCAGCCGAAGCAGTCCGATTGTTCAATGGACCCATTGCATCAAGGAAAAATCGAGGGTACCGCATGCGCGGCGGGAGAAATAACTCTACCCATTATTTTTAAATTTGCTTTATAGTCTAAGATCCGAATTAGGGTCGACCTTCACCCATCTGCTTAAAATTAGGCGCTGAACACGATGCAACAGGTTAAAATACTCTGCGATGCATAGTTTTTGAGATATTAGCAATAGACCGCACTGCGTGTGAAAAATAGACCAAAATCTCGATACAAATAAAAAAAATATTTTCAAATTGATCCATATAACGTTCTTTATATTTCTAGAGGTCTTAAAAACTCAAAAAAGTGCATAAAATGTTATTGAGTCAAGTTTAAAAAATTACGAATTTTTTGAGTTTTTGAAGATGAGCGATATAATTAGTTAGAGGTGTTTTGGGAGCTTTAACAAAAAAATCTTGTATACACCACGTACGGAAAAGGTTTTAGGTAACTCCTCTCATTAAAGACTCGGCTCCTACGTCGCCTCGTCATTAATTACGATTTGTCCCCTAAAACCCTACTTTGCGTACTTGATACATAAATAGCTATTTTTACATGACAATATGTTTATCATTATCAATATTGGCACATCTACAAATTTTGATTTTTTAATGAGTTTCAGTTTTTTTATTAGTAAATTTAAATATATAATGATTCATCGTTGTGTTATGGAACAACGTGAAAACACTAAGAAATAATGAAAACTGAAGAAGTTAACAAAATAAGTTTGTAGTTCCACATTTTTTCAAAGTTTTCTCCAACGTCCCACTGAGTTTTAACCTCTCTGTCGCACATCTTTATTTGCTCCGATTTTTCAATTTCAAAGCTCGGCAACCCTTATTCATGAACGTTTTTTCGCAGGCAACCTTATACCACCGTGTTCGCAATAAAATTATCTTTATTTTCATATATAATTTATTGCGCAAGCAGATCGGTGCAAATTACTACATCGACTCACCTGTTCATACCTGGCAACCCAATAATAGTGAACAGAAAAAGGTAGGCAACTCAATTTTTTCATACTCCTTAGGCTTCATACTTTCGATTGGTATTTAATTTTTCTGGTAAGCAAGTAAGTGAAGTAATTATTAATTTTTGTATTTTCAATAAATCATATCCTTGAACATATTTTTTTAGGCAACCCATTCGCGATACATTCCTTTGCATATTAAATTTGATAAAAAATAAGTTTCATCCGGTAAGCAGATGGGTGAAGGTCGACCCTAATTCGGATCTTAGACTGTAAAGTATTAGTGCCCATGTTGTTCACTCTCAGTTTAGAAAATAGTTTCTAGTCTTGTATAATGATTTTTAAAAATGCTTTAAAGTGGGAAGTATTCAGAATTATTGTAACCTTTATTAATATTTTATTTACTTAGTTATATTATGCTAATCATTTTATTTTATTCCAAATAGGATCATGATACTTGCCCATATTTCCAACCGTTTCGTCTGGAATATCACCGGTGTGTCTCTGTACATTACTCTAATAATTAATCGTATTTTAATTGACTATTGATTGCACATTACTCTCCTGAAATTGATTGACCTCACGAGTTGGCTAAGGATCTTACACTCAAAGAAATTTAATCCTTCTGTTTGATAGGCCACCGTTCAACCAAAACAAAGGTACGTTCGAAAGTTAAAAACTCAAAAACCCGCCAAAATTACACTGTTTAAAAAAATGAGTTGAAATTAACAAAAATAGGCACACAAAAAAATCATAAAACGGTAAAAATTTTGGATCAATTTTTTTTGTTGAAGATATTAACAAATTTCATTACGTCAAATGTTACCGATTACTAGCACTGTAAACTTTAACTTTTTTTACTCAAAAGTTCAAACTTCGTTTATATTACATTTTTTCTGACGCCAATGTGGAGGTTGCATCTTTTTTTTATATAAGTTCTAAAATACTTTTCATAAAACAATAAAATGTTTTTTTAAGTTTAACAATAAAGTCTCCAAAAAAAAGTCCCTTGAAGATGGAGAGAAAAAGCACTTTTTTCTCTAAATCTATTAGTACTGTAAAATTTTGTTTTGAAAAAAGCTTTAGAAAATATCTCCTGAATATTCAGATTTCTTGAATAACCCTCTGAAAAATGTATTACATATACAGCTCACAACTCAGTTGTATTCTAAATAATAGCATAGAAATTGTAATGGTAATTATAGGTAGCTACTGTCTAGACAGTAAGTACCTAGTACCTTAGTGTAAAAGTGTAAGTATACTCTGAGTTTAAACTTTAACCAGGGTGTATTATTGGTTGCTTTTGAAAAAGAATTATAAAAGGAAACCGACATGCTCATCGTTCACCCCGGGTCGTATTTTCATATAAAAAATTAGTTTTATAACTGCAAAATTTCTAAAACTTATTGACCATGACCTCGCAGCCGCAACATAGCCGGGGAATTCTATAACAAATAAATTAATTCCATCGGCTGACGGAAAGTGCTCGTAATAATAAAAAACATTTTGAAAACTCTAAAAACCCGACACAAAAAGAAGATAACAGATATTGTTAATTTGATCCCGTTTTTGTAGGTGTGTTTTAAACTTTCCCACAATTTTTAGATTGTTTCACCTCTACCATGTAAATTAGGTAAATGTGCTATGATAAGTACAAGATAAAAAATAAAGACTGTAGGACATAAATAAATATTGTTTTCTGAATGAAATAAAATACCTTTCGTTGGGCATAAATAAAATATCTGCAGCGACATTTCTCAAAATACACTGATTCAATTTTAAGTCGATTTAAAATTGTCATGTACTTTAGCTAAAATTACTGCGCAATTTCCTTCTGCGCACGCGTCACCCACATATGATCATTGGTCAATTCTCTGTGTAATTGCTGTAATGTTATGACAGGTCATTGTTTTTTTTTCACTCACATCTACAACATTTGGCAAGAGATTCGTGTTTGCAAACATTAGTTTTGGAAAAAGATTGATAGTGCGGTTTGTTGCAAGACAGGAAGCAGAATTCATCGTTTGCTAATTTCCGGCAATCAAAAGCAAATTCATCGGTTTTTATATAGATATGGGCACCCGAAAGAAGGCATCCGAACTTGTTTTTAATTTGCAATGGAGAAGTAAACCCGACAATGGAGGCGACAAGTCCAACGTTATTGGAATGTATGACACCCCAACAACAACCTCGAACTTCGAAATGTTTAAATCGTACTTGGTGAGTTGTTTTTATCAATTATCACAAATCTTTTTATAATTGTTCCACAATGGCCTTAATTTCAGCTGAAGAATTCCGGGGTCGCTGGCAACGATGTGAAAGTTACTTATATCACCGACAACGGGCAGGAATGGGTGATTGACTCTCAGGAATGGTTTGAACTAGCTTTGAGTGCATTTCGTTTGAAAGCTAGATTGGGGGAGGTAATTTTTCTCAAGCTTGACAAGATATTCAGCTCAAAACATCTGCCGAGGAAAGATTCCAATGATGTGGAAACGCAATTCGATATGGATTCAATGGACAACAGTATGATTGCACCCCCAGAGTGGTTTGTCACCTACATGAAACAGGTAATTTAATATTTAATTTTGGCTGCATAATTTGCTATTGATTGAGCACACATTGTGCAACAGCTGACTCATTGTTTGGCATATAACTTTATCACCAGTTATGCATCTTAATTTAACAGTGACTTCAAATGTGGGCTATTTAATTTTAATAAATAGAAAAACCTTACTGCAAAATTTATGAACCTACAATACCAGGTGACTGTAAATGATTGTGATTTTTATTCTCAAATTGGTGTCAAATTTTCAGTTTGGCAACCTTGGCACCTGAAACATCCTGAAGGATTACTAATCAACTAGCTAAAGCCGCATGTGTTTATGTCTACACTAGTGGGACACATTAATGCATTAATTTGAATAATAATGTTTTTAGTCCCTATATTATTAAATTACTCTTAAACGATTTGAGAGGCCAATTGGCTTAGCACAGCTTCAAAAAGCCATGCGGCATGTGTCCAAATTTTAATTGGTTTTTGTCAATTGGCATAGCCGATTTATAGCAACTGGTATAATGTGGACGTACCACATGATTAAGTTGTCAACACTGAAAAATATAGACTGATTTTGTACCTTTCGCTCTTCCTTTAACTGATTAAAAACTAGTTGAAAGTAATTTATGTTTAACATCTTGGCTTGAACAAATACCAAACAACAAGGCCATTTCAAGGTCGTCATTTATTTAATTAATTTAATTTATTTTTTTTAGTTTAAACGAGATGTTGTGGAAGAAGTAACTTTTGCGGTCACGTCCAATATAATTGCTAATAAAGACAAGGAAGTTCCTGTTGCAACACCTGCGTCTTCAAAGAGAAATAAGCCCGAATTTACTAAAAGATCTAGAAAGCATGGAGAGAATCCTATTGAGTATGTTTCAATTTAATGAGGATTTGTTGTTAATATAGAATTTCAAATTTTAGTAAAGAACTTTTTAAGACTTTAAAATTTGACATGAAATTGGAAAATAAATTGGACAAATTGGATGCGAAAACAAAGAAAATCAAGGAAAAGAAGCAAGCATTGATTAATAAAATAAGCTGTGCTGAAGATCGACATGGGAGTGGTAAACGCTCTCATTTTCTACTTGATACTTCGTCTTTTATGAATGCTTCTCTTGTAAACGAATGCAATACTGGGGTCTATGAACATATGTTGGGCGGTGATGTTTATCTTCATACTTGGCAAGTTATCAACAGTGGGATGTTACCTTGGACTAGAAGTGTAAGTAGAAACTAATATTCTTTTCTTGAGTTAATAGTTTATGTTTAGACCGAATTGCGCTTGACTTGGGGATCTACCGAGATGGTACCGGCTAGTAAAACTATTCGCTGCCCTCTCTTGCAACCAGGGGAAAAAGGCACAATTTCTGTTCGATTTGAAATACCGAGTAAGTGTCAGATTTGTCGAAGTGGAATTTTATTACGAATTGACATTTTTTCAGAGAAACCCGGCACTTACGAAAGCTACTGGAATTTCTACGATAAAGACGTCCGATTTGGCAAATCTTTGAGTTGCTGTGTTATTGTCGACAGGCCTTTGTCTTCAATTCTAAATGTAGAATCGCCAAAGAAACCTCTCGGAAAAGTCATGTTTTGCAGTAGTGGAGCAGCCGAAGTGTCAAAACCATTACCCGTGAATGACAATCACCAAATGGAAGAATCAGTTGAGAAAATGTTCAATATTGCCGAAAAACAGCCAATTTGCGTTCAAGTACCTAAGCATGTTAAAGAAGTTGTTATTTTTCCAGAAGATTCAGAAAATAATATAAATGCGAGTATAGAAATCCCGGAAGGTGTCAAACGACTGGTCTACTACCCTAATAGAATTGAACCCGAGGAGAGTTCTCCTTTTTTTGATTTATCAAAGCTGACAAACTCATTTAAAACAGAGACCCAAAAATCGGCTGATTTAGAAGAAAACATGAATGTGTCCAAATTAGTTTATTTCCCAAATGAGTTTGCTGAATTAGACAAGAAAAGTCCTTCTAAAGAGAACATTGACGCTGTGAACAAAACACTAGCTCAAATGCCAATGGAAAATGCCACGACTCTTGCAAACAGCGTTATTGATTTAAGTCGACGCATTCAAAATATTAAAATAGTTGGGACTTCTCAGCAAGATTCTGATTCGGAGTGGGAAAGCGTGTGGTCATATGGAAAAATGAAAAATAAGGACAATCAATCAACTGACTTTGAAGATAAAGCAACAAACAAATATGGTATTGCGGAGAAAGATCTTATTGTAGATTTATCTAAAAAGTCCAAAGAGTTTGATAAAGTCGAAAAGGATGAGGAAAATGTGAACGTAAACGATGATAAAAACAATAACAACGGAGCAGTGGAAAACAACAACTCAACAGGGGAGTCGATTTCGGAAATTGCCAGCGAGGCGTCTTCAGATCTGAGCAGTGGCTATGATGTGGTGAATGATCCAGTGTGTGAAGAGAAGGAAGAAAATTCAGGTAAAGTTTAATTCCGTAAAAAACATCTTGTTTTTCTACACAAAGTTTACTGAAGTACTTTTGATCATTTTTATGTATTTTTATCATTTCAGGATATGTTTATATAACATTCGACGGCAATAAATTGCCAGTTCCGAAACACATTTTGCGTCCCGATTTCCTTGTAAATGCTGAAGAGGCCCCTGGACCTTTGAATTCCGAAGATGAAGAAAAAATTGATAATGCCTCTCAACAAAAAATTCCTGACGATTCAAACTCTGTAAAATTAGAACAAATCCATCCTAAGGAAGAGGTCACTGAACAGTGTGTCCAAGAAAAATCTTTCATGTCACATTGCTCTGCTACCGGTAGTTGTTTCTCGGATGTCACTTCCGGAAAAAGATTGTTTATTTTCCCCCAAAGCAATCCAGGATATGAGGTTTTTTATCCATCACAACCAAAAATGGAGTCTGAGAAAATCGAGAAACCGGTCACTTTGAACATCAAAGATGAAACGAAATATACTTGGGCACATCAAGCTCCATGTTCTCATTATTTAAAAACGGATCCGTATGGACCGTTGGACCAATCACAGGCTGGATCCCTTCATAATCCAGCTGTTGGACACCCAACTTCTTCTCATCCACATCCAATTCCCCATCATCAAAACATGCAACAGTCGGAAAGGAAACAATTTGATTATGGTTTGCATCACCGACCAGCACCTAAACCCTCTGTTAAAGAAGAAACGCCATCTGCTCCACCTCAACCACCACAAGCAGAATATACACCTCAAGTTCACATACTGCCGGAGAATTTGGTCAGCGGTGCTGTCAATGTTGCCTCATCTGCAATCAACACGGCACGTTCTGTCATTAACATGATTGTACCAAAAGCAGAAGTAAGTATTCTGATCAAATGTCTTCATTTTATTGTTATTGTTTTGTTTAGCCTGGAAAATGGGTGAATGGCCATTGGGTAACGGAGAATCCTGATTCAATCCGTGCTAAGAATCTGCTCATTTTAGCTGAGATGGGCTTTTGGGATGCGGATTTAAATGCTACGCTTTTAGCGCGGTATAATGACGACTTAGCTAGAGTGATAAGTGAACTTGTTCAATAAATACACTGTATATTTACGTCCTATCTAATATGTTTTATTCACAAACGCATTTTACTAGTTAGTTTTGTAGTCTAGTTTTAAGGTATTGAAAAGTATTGGTGTTATTGAATGGATTGGATTACTAGTTTTAGGGAACAAATATTAAAGGTTCCGAATTTATTATATCTGAAATGTATTTTCAATTAATGAGATTACTTTAGGTTGTAATTTGTGTAACTATTATCATGTTAGTGGTTTTCTTTTAATAAAATTTAAGTTTTTCCATTTTGTTTTTTTAATTAAACCCTTTCGGAATTATAACCAAAATTTAAGAAAACGAAATATATCTGCGGTTTTTAAAGAATAATGATTTTAAGTCTTTAATTGTAATTTGGGTTGCCTATACACAGTTGTTCAGTTAAATATTTTTCATTATTTATGGTTGCATAACAAGTGGTGAGTGACATTTGACAGACAGCTGTTCCCAAAGTTTAAAATTTGTTTCCGGTTTTACCTTTGAGAAAAATGGAAATTATAAAAGATGCATCTATTTTGCACTTTATTTCGGACGTTTTAAGTATAATCACCATTTCTACGTGTTTTATCCTGAAAATTCCACAAATTTTGAGCATTCTGAAGGTTAAGAATGCAAACGGCATTAACCTTGTTGGATTATTAATGGAATTAACAAGGTAAAACTTATTTTTTACGTTCTAAAATACGTTGAAGCTCTTTTAGTTACACCATAATGTTTTCATACAATTTCCGTAATCGTTACGCTCTTCTATCATACATGGAGTACCCCATTATTCTCATACAAGAAATAATTTTAATAGTATTTGTTATGTACTACAAAAGTTGTTTAAACGCCTATAGTATGATAGGTGCAGTTGTTTATGGGTTAATTGCGGCTGGGCTTTTACTAGGCACAGTCCCACAAGGTGTTATAGCTTTTCTTGTGGTATGTAGCCACAACATCAGGAGGGTACAAATTTTTATTGTTGAAATTTTAGCCTCTTTGCACACCTATAGGGGCTTCATCAAAAGTTGTACAATTATTGGAAATCTTAAGAACAAAAAATTCTGAGTCAGTTAGTGTTCTTACTTGGTTCATATCAGCGTTTACAAACTTCAGTAAGTACATCAACATTTTTTTTTTCAGTAAATTGATTTATTTGATTCGAATTTTATTTTGGAATAAAACAACCACACTTTGGGGCTATTGAAGTTTTGATATTGAATGTTTGGTTGCATAATTATGTAGCTTATTTACATTTTCAATTAACAATTGAAATTATCTGCTTCACAGTAAAGATGTTACATTATACTTACAATTGTTATATTTCAGCACGAGTTTTTACCATTTCGGTGGATTCAGCCGACTTAACACTCCTTTTAAACTTTGGAGTTAACGTTGTTTTAAGTTCTTCTGTAATGATAGCTGCTTACGTATATAAACATCCCAAAAAAGACTAAGACGGGTATTAGAATGCTACCTAAATTCGTTATATAATTATATTATTAAAGTTTTGTTTATAGTGTGAATAGATTCTATGTAGTGATAGGGTGGTTTAACGAAGTATAAAGCGATATTAGGACATCATGGATTTTTTAAAGTTAAGTCACCCCTAAATTGACTTCCACTTGTTTGTTAACTTGTTAATAATTTAGTGACAGTTTAATGAGGAGAGTTAGCTGTTATTTTATATACCTTGTTTATGTGATAGTTTAGCATATTTATATTTTATTCTAAGGGCAATCATTGTCTACTCAGGTATACCTATTGTTTTAAATATATTTTAATTGTTTATCACACTGAAAATATTTAAATTGGTATTTTGTTGTAAAGGCATTTATTATTTTATTAGTAACATTTTATTCACTTTTCTTCTGATTTGAAATATAAATATCGTTTGTTGATCAGAGTTGTTAAGATTTTTATAAATAAATATCAATATTATTAACAACCAAGTAAATACAAAAGTGGGATAAAAATAAAGTATCTATCGTTTTATGTTTTTTTTTCTAGAAGTTCAAAATGAAGAACAAATGTTACAATTCTGTAATTCGCCTAATGCTACTCGTATCTTAGATCAAAGTAAAAGTCAGTTTTCTTTATCGAAGAAATTTTATAATTTTGCTTTAATAAAAAATGTTAAATTTTGTAAACTTATTGTTGCTTTTGTTGATTAAAATTAAATTTCAAGCAAGCTATTTTTATGTAATATCAATTTTTTTTAATGTCAAATTACTAGAAATACGTACCTAATATTATTTTCTTTCTCCATATTGCTTCAAAATTTCTGGTGGTGTAAAATTCTATTTATAAATCTGAGAAACTGTCTAAAGCAATTTGAGACACATTTTTACTTTATGTAAAGAGGGAACTAGTAATTTTCATTAAATTTGACCATTGTTTAGGTCACACATCTTTCTTGGTTAATGAAGAAAGTTTAACGTGAAATACTATCTATAAGTAATTAAATTTTTACTTTAATTTACAAGCACACCGTTTTCACCAAATTGATTAGTTCCTCTCAGTTAATTACAAACAACAAATTAAATTTCAAAGCAGAAAAATCAAAACTATTTTTACCTGATTGGGATACCGGATGCTCCACATATAATTTATTCAAGAATGCCGTTGTTGCAATAAGTATTTGTGCAATTATCAAGTTTAGATTTTAAAAGACATTATTTTAATGTAAAATTATATTTTTGTATGAGGACTGTTATAGTTTCAACTGTTAAATAAAATCATAAAAATCAAGTTTAAATTTTTTGAGTCACAAAATGAGACGATACCTCTATCCTTCTTTCCTCTCCGAGAAAATGCAAAAAGAATGTTTGTCATTGTAGGTGCAGCATGTCTTTGCACCACGTAAATCATCATCTCGGATGGTCGGTGGTCAAAAATAATGAATGGAAGGGATAAATGTGTTCAACAGGACCGTACTTTCAAAATTTGAACCGATCATAAAATAATCAGCATCATTTTTGAAAATTTGCATCACCATCGAATTTGTACCAAACACTTGAAATGTCTATGCAATGAAAAGTTGTATCTTAAAAATTTAACAAAAATATTTTAGTGTGAGATATTTGGTCAAGTATAATTCGATTTGAGTTGCGATTTAGCACTAGTGTGTTTATAACAAATGAAATATTTAATGTTTGTCAATTGTTAGTGGAAAATTGCCGAATCCGGTCCTGTCTAAGGGTTAAACAATTTGCGGACTAAAGATGCTGAGTCTGATTGTTGTGCCGGCATCTCAGTAGCGTAGCGATGTTCGTGGTAAGCGCGTGGACGGGCCTTTTGGCCGTCCTTGTGCTTCGACTTGAGACAGTGCAAAGTGAAATTTTAACCCCCCCTTATTTTAATTTGGCCGAGGGCAGAAAAATTACAGCGACGGCGACTTGTGGAGTCGACACTGAAGGACCCGAGCTTTATTGCAAACTTGTGGGGGCTAACGCCGAAAATGATCTAAATGTTAATGTGATACAGGGACAGGTAAAGATTTGGCCATGCTTGAAACTCTTTTCTATCAAATTTAATTCATAAAAATGTACACCAGCAATTTTTGGTTTGTTATCGAGCAGTGAACTTTTTTTTTTGATAAATAAAAATAAAGTGTTAAGTTATTTTCTAAATGTTTATTTTTGAAATTATTAAGTCGTTAGGGCTCGTGTTTCCTAATTTCTGTGACCTCAGAGATAAACATGATGTGCGTTGACTTAATTAGTTCTATTATCAAATACAGTATTTAAATTGTGATAAAACTGATCGAAAATATGCCCTAAATAGATTTGTCTTTCTTGTTATATTGAAAATCCCAGATATTTTTATCTTTTAAGTACAGGAAGTCATCTTAGAATTGGTATTTAAATAACAATCGGGGTTGAAAAATTTTGGCGTTTTCTTAAACTCGAAGTTATAAATAAATCATGAATTTTTACTGAAAGAAAATATTGAATTGAAAAAAAAATTTGAAATTAATTTTTCAAGAATTTTAAGAAGGGATTTAAAATATTTAAGACTGAAATATAAAGTAACAAGATGAATATTTAATTACTGTTTTCTCAATAATACTACTTTTTTTTTCAAAAAAAATATCTTTTCAGCGTTTTGCTTGTGCACTTTTTGAAAACTCAACACCCTACATAGGGTGTGCGTAAAAAACAACGTTGATCTGGGGGTGATTACTTTGGTCAAAATGGGAAAAAAGTCTGTCTTCATACTTTACCTGTTTAGAAGTTGTGGGTTCGATACGTTTCAAACAATTTAAACGAGAAGCTGTGAGAAAAAACTGTTAATACCGAAGCTAATCTTAGTTAAATTATGTAAAAAGTTGGTCTCTTATAGAAATTTTTTCTAACAATAATTTTAAAATGGAATTCGGTAAAGCATTTGTAAGAAACCTAGTTTCAGTTCAAATAATAAATGATAAAAATTATCAGCAGACTTTAGATAGTTTTTCTAAATGAATAATAAGTTTCCGGATAATATTATCTTTTATTTATAAAATAAAAACAACGGTATAACGGTGGATTTTAATTCTAATATTTAGCTTACGAATGGGCATATGTATTTTTAAAAGTAGATTTTTTATAATTAAAAAAGGCATTATTATTTGTTAAAAAGCGAAAATAAACTATTTTTAATTTTATGGGTCATTTTTTTAAAACCTGAAACAATTCAATTCCATTTTTGTAAATGATACATTTTTATTATACTATTATTTATAACGTCAATGATTTTTAAATGACAACATTATCAGTATTTTTTTTTTAAATTGCAACTAACATTTTTGTTTAGTGTTTTTGGTAATACATATTTTCTTTTAAAAAGATAGAAGAATGTATACCTATTAGGTACTAAAAACCGTCAACAAAATTGTTGATTGCCATCTAAAAAAATTAATGATAATACCATTACTCAAAATCCAATCGCGTTATAAATGTAACAATACTCTAAAAATGTAGCATTTATAAAAGTAAAGTCTACTTGTTTGAGAATTTTTTTGAAAAATGACCCATAATTCATATTTTGAATTTTGTGCGTTACTTTTTGGTTCATCCTTTTGTATAATATGTAAAATATATGTAAAAATGTATTTTGTGTTTCCCTTATTTTACATACATAAATAAGACGTTTCTGTACCTAAAAATAAGTGAAACCGTTTTTTTTTTCTAATAATATAAATCTACAATATCTTCCTATAAAATTTTATGTATTTATAATTAAAGAAAAACAGATGTTTAGTTCTATTTAATCACATTTTAAACTACAGTAGCATATTTTATGATTTCTAGTTTTGCGATGTTTGCGACCCAACCAGACCGGACAAAATGCACCCTCCGGAGTTCGCGGTGGACGGCATGGAAACTTGGTGGCAAAGTCCTCCACTATCGCGAGGAATGAAATATAATGAGGTCAACTTAACCATTGATCTTGGCCAAGTAAGTATCGCTTTTTTAACAAATCCACACAATTTGTCCATGTGAAGTTTACAACATCCGGAACTATTTGCTATTTCTAGAATCCCACAAATTTTAGTGCAGGAGGAATCAATGCACTACCAGTAATAACACTAATTTATAAATAGCAAATTTAAATTCTTGTTATAGGGATTACGATCGGCCAAATTCTGTTGTTTATGTAACGTGTCATCTGTCTAATTTTACCATTTTCCAAGTGTCTATTTTGAGGGGCACAGAATCGTTCATTTTTATGACTTTCCAAGTTACGCTCCTTTCTCTATTCATTCAGCAAATCGTCCATTGACAAAAATACTCGCAAAGAGCGGCATTCCTGTTCCATTCAATTCAAATTTATTTTCCCACTGTGTTGCACCGAAAAACTTGCTCTAATTGATTTCAATAGGCTCTGGTGTAGTCAAAAGGCACAAAGCCCATTCCTTATATCCCAACTATTAATATCTTGCTGTTTATTGCAGTTTAATGAATGGAGTATTTGCGAGCGTGATAAGCAAACATTGATCCTGAATCATAACTCAAGTAAATGTTGTCATCTTGCCTGCAATTTTAATTCTATGTTTAACATTAGATCATCGAGAGAACTAAATTGAACGAATTGTTTATGCTAGTAAGCGAGGACCGCTGCTTCAACTGTCTGACTGAACTTTCAAGTTGTCACAAAAAGAGCATCTGGCATGCACATGTTTTATTTTATATTTTGACCCCCGTCACATAATCTTGAGGGAATTCGTCTTGGGGCCTTGTTCTTTGTTTTAGCCGACTCAGAAGAATAACTCAATGACTTAATTAATATTTATCTCTGGAAAACTTCACCTTTGCATTGATAAACGGTATAAAATGTTATAATGTAATACAAGGATGTCGAGATGTAACTTTATAGCCGGCGTTTTTTCTTATTTAGCTGTCATGAATTTCTATTGCTACATATCATATCATGACACGCGATGTGGGTGTTTGTTTCCTGCAATAATCAATGTTTAAAGGCCTTATCAGTTATCAGAGGATGTTCTTGTCTTTGTTCAAGCATCGTTTTATAAATTGAAAATCGTTATAATTTTCTAATAAATTAGAAAAAAACAGAATTTTATTTACACAAAACCTAAGTCAGAGCTGAAGAAAGATAAAAATAAACGATTGTACTTTTTGTAACATTTTTCCTACCTTTAGAATTTGGTTTTAATGGGAGTAATAAAAATTGTAAATCTTATTACTTTTATACATTGTTATGTATAACTAACACCGATTTTAATAACACTACCCAACAAATTTAATTTTTTTAATGTGATTGATCTATTAACACGTGTATCAGGGTACATTAACATCTCTAATTACGAATTTGATAAGAAAAATTCTCCATCACGTACAGATTTTAAGTTATAGGAAAATAGTTTTCTCAAATTTTATCGTAAAAATTGTTCATTTCAAATAGAAATTAATTAAATAGACGACGAAAGAAATTAATTTATTCACTAAACAAGAACAATGTTGGAAGATGTATAAGATTCTAACATAAATCTGTTGTAGATGAGTTTTTGCAAAAGCTGACTTTCTTTTGTAGGGTGTTTTAACTACCTTTATCAGGAACCAGCAGTAATCCCCCATCTCCCTTGGTACCTCTTTTCTATCGTCAATATATCCTGGTGGAACCTTTCCCCTTGCTTGTCACTAACGGCACCCAAATTTGGGGGAAAAAAATTTAATAAGAATAGAGAAAATTAATTTCAATGTTTCGTTTTTCGGCGATTTTGTCTAACATACTCGTACTTACATGTGTTATCTTAAAATGCCTAACTCTAAAATCTGACGTGCTATGGAATTTTCTTTATCATATTTGAGTTTAGCACATAGAATTGAACAAAAAATAACTGTTTTCTTCTCAGTCACAAAATGCTTGTTGGCTAGTGTAATTAGTCGTTTAATTCAGTGTATTTATTGTTTGCCAAAATAATATCATTCACTATTTATTTAAATTTTGTTTTGAAAAAGTCTTGATTCTACTTAAATATTGAATTTATTTTGAGACAGAATTGCTTTAAGTATTTTATAACGGCTTAAAAAAGATAAACCGTTTCTCTGTGTAATTTTTTAAGTTGGGTCTCTTGTTCTTTGTAGGAATTTCATGTAGCTTACGTTTTTATTCGAATGGGAAATTCTCCCAGGCCCGGCTTATGGGTGCTGGAAAAATCGGCCGATTACGGCAAAACATACACGCCTTGGCAATATTTCTCTGATTCCCCCGGCGACTGCGAAACTTACTTTGGTAAAGAAAGTCTGCAACCAATCACCAAAGATGACTCCGTCATTTGTACGACGGAATATTCGAAAATTGTACCATTGGAAGGAGGAGAAGTATGTTCCAAGTGAGATAATTCAACCACTTTTGGAAAATCAAATTTTAGATAGCAATTTCGTTATTGAACAATCGACCCTCAGCGAAGAATTATTTCAATTCTACGGTTTTACAAGAATGGACCCGGGCAACGAACGTGAGATTGAAGCTTTTGAGAACGAAAAACTTTCTAGGGCATCTCATGTCGGTCGCTAGACAAGATCCGACGGTTACGCGAAGAGTAATTTTTATTTTTTGTCGTAATTTGTAATAATGAATTTTTTTAGTACTTTTATTCGATTAAAGATATCAGTATTGGTGGCCGTTGCATGTGTAATGGACACGCTGATACTTGCGATATTCAAGACTCTCAAGATCCGAGCGTTCTGTTATGTCGCTGTCAACATAATACTTGTGGGGCGAAATGTGACACTTGTTGTCCCGGCTTTGAACAGAAGAAATGGCAACAGTCCAAAATAAATCATCCGTTCGTCTGTGAACGTAAATTTTTAAACACCGTCATTTAATTTAACACTCGCACCACTTTTTCCAGCTTGCAATTGTTTTCTTCACAGCAACGAATGCGAATACGATGAAGAAGTCGACCGCAAAGGATTATCTCTCGACATCCATGGCAGATATTCCGGCGGAGGTGTATGTCGAAATTGTCAACACAACACCGATGGAATAAATTGCAACAAATGCAAACCGACATTTTACAGACCATTTGGCAAACTCGAGAACGACACCGATGCCTGTCAACGTAACTTTTGTCGAACACTACCAAAATTTTGTTTCATTATTGTTTTTCAGCTTGTAACTGTAACTACTTTTACTCTACTGGTAATTGTGCGGAAGGTTCCGGCCAATGCGAGTGTAAAAAAGAATTTCAACCGCCCAATTGCGATAGCTGCAGTTTTGGGTACTTCGGGTACCCAAATTGCAAACCGTGTGAGTGTTTCTTGAACGGAACCAAAGATTTGCAATGTGAGGCGCGCAATGGACAATGTCCGTGTTTGTACAATTATGGAGGGCAATATTGCGGAGAGTGTGCATCTGGGTATTACAGTTTTCCCGATTGTAAACGTGAGTTGGTTCTTACTTATTTAAAGTTAGGGTACCTAATTTATTTTATAGATTGCGAGTGTAACCCTGAAGGTTCCCTCACGAATGCTTGCGACCAAGAGAGTGGCAATTGCACTTGCAAAAATAATTTTGGAGGAAAACGATGTGATGAGTGTCAACATGGATACTACAACTATCCAACTTGTGCATGTATGTACAGTCGAACAAAATGAAAATGACGCCTCAATAAACCAGCCCTTGCTGTGGATGCCGACTCTTCTAACCGCAAGCAGGCAGTGTCGTAAATTATTTCGGATTGCAAACTTGTTTCAAGATAAATTCCTTTAGAAATTCAATTCAGAATTAAACTAATCCGAATTAAGTTGCTATTTCTTTTACATTGACAAAAATGAAAATTCCTAGAGAAATTCAACTTCTCAGTTGGCTAGGAGACGCAATAATTGTCAACTTTATAGCTAGTAGTGGAAAAACTTTTTTTAATTGTTTTTTTCAAATTAAAATTAATTAACATAATTTTTGTACAAAATAGACTTTCTCAATTTTAAACTTATGTAAAACAACTGTTTATTTGAGAGAAGAATGTTTAATTCCACGTGTACGATTTAATTCTTTGAGCAAAAAGCGAAATTAAAATTTTATTACGATTAACACGTTCTGTAAGCCGGCCCTAAGTTTCCTATTTTATAATTGTCATTGAAAACAAACCAAAATTATTTATTTAATTTAACCAGGAAAAAGACCGCAAAATTATTTGAAATTAGTTTTTTTATAAAATTTATTTTTTGATAATTGTAATACTTTTAAATTAAATAAACAGGTTTAGTTTTTAAATAAACATTTTAACAAAAACCATTTCTTAAAACAAATTAATGTAATAATCTGATAAACTGATAAACTGTTTTCCAAAATTAAATTAAGTAACATAATTTTTGTACGAAATAGGCTTCCTCTATTTTAAACTTGATTTTAGTAAAACAATAATATTTTAAATGATTTATAAAATAATTTTATATTGAAAAACAGTATAAAATAGTTATTAAATTAATAATGATTTGTTTTTTGTCATCATTTCCTTCAAAAAATTTTTCATTAACAAAATTTTATTTAACGTTTGTCAATGCAAAATAAATGGCAACTTAATTCAAATTAGTTTCATTTCGTTTTCTGTAAACCGGCTCCTAAAGGAATTTATCTTGAAACTACGTCAAGTTTGCAATCCGATAATACTTTACGACCCTGCCTGCCTGGTTTATTAAAGCGTCATTTTCACTTTGTTCTTGGACAGTCATAGTATTTAACAATAAAAAATTTCTGCCTCTATTAGATTGCAACTGCGATATAAAAGGAACAAAAGAAGGCATTTGCGACAAAGCCACCGGCCAATGCATATGCAAAGAAGGCTACACCGGCGACCGTTGTGATTCCTGCCTTGCCGGCTACTACGGCTACCCCGATTGTCAGCCTTGCAACTGTAGTAAAGTCGGTTCGGTTGGTTTCAGTTGCAGCGCCACTGGAAAGTGCTCGTGCTCGACCAACTACGGCGGCAAGACTTGCGATCAGTGCAATCCTGGATATTTCAAATACCCTGAGTGCTTGCCTTGCGAATGTGACAGCCACGGCTCGATTGGTGTTTCGTGTGACGGCGAAGGCAAATGCGAATGTCACCACAATTTTGCCGGCCTTCGATGCGACTCGTGCAAAGAAGGTTTCTACAATTTTCCGGCTTGTGAAGACTGCAATTGTCATCCGGCCGGAGTTGTGGCGGGTTTTGCCGGATGCGGATCGGTCCCAGCCGGGGAACTTTGCCAGTGTAAAGAACGAGTAGAAGGACGTATTTGCAATAAATGCAGGCCTTTGTACTGGAACTTGAATCCTAATAATCCCCAAGGATGCGAGGAATGTAAATGTAATATTTCGGGAGTGCTTGGAGGGATTGCTGTGTGTGATTCGGATACTGGGGAGTGCGTCTGTAAATCACTCGTGGTGGGTCGAGGATGCTCGGAATGTGTCGATGGCACGTATAATTTAGAAGAAGAGAATCTCTTTGGTTGTACCGGTAAGTCAGGAAACTGTAATAGGAGTTGGGAGGTTTGAAATGTTTTTTTTAGATTGTGATTGTGATGTTGGGGGTTCGGTTAATAATATTTGTGATAAGGCCACTGGACAATGTTTATGTCACTCGAGAGTTAAAGGACGTACTTGCAAAGAACCACTTGAAACCCACTATTTTCCAACTCTTTATCAGTACCAGTATGAAGTTGAGGATGGACGAACTCCGGCAAATACGTTAGTGAGGTATGCTAACGATGAACGCACCTTCCCGCACTACTCCTGGAAAGGCTATGCCGTATTTGGGCCCTTACAAGTAATGGAGGATTTTTTATCCGGCCCTTGAAATAACTTTTTTTTTAGAAACAAATTTTGCAAGACGTGATTATTCTCAAACCGTCACTCTACAGAATGGTGCTACGTTTTGTGAACAAAAATCCGGAAACAGTCATTGGAAAAATTAAAATAACTCCGGATAATCCTAGTGATAATGAACAAGAAATCCAGGTTCAATTTAGGAACAGTACAGTTCCGGCATTTGTAACCGTTTCAGGCCCTATGGGAAATACTCCTCAACCATTCGTAATTAATCCAGGACGTTGGCAGATAAGCATCGAAGTGACAAAAGACCTACTTTTGGTGAGTTACTAAAGTGGAAAACTCGGACTAATTTTCATTCTTTTTAGGACTATTTTGTACTCCTCCCTGAAGATTTCTACTTGGCTACGATTTTAAATAAAAAAGTTGAGACTCCTTGCACGATCGATGGCCCTAGTCTTTGCCATGATTATACATATTTAAATTTGTCTCAATTTTCGACGACTTACGGAGTTGGTGGGTATGTACCAGAAGGTCGCCGATCTACCAAACTTAGGGAGTATTTCCAAGACAATAAGGTAATACATCGTGTTGGTTTCAATTTATGTTTTGAAATGTTTTTCTAGCATTTGGAGAAAATTGAAGTTGGAAATAGAGTCCCTGTTTTAAATCTTGCCCAACCTAACGTTTCCTTTAACGTCACCGTGCCTAAACCCGGCCAGTATGTTATTGTAGTTAATTATGTTACGCCTAAAGAGGACCAAAGGACTCACAAAATTGATGTTAGACTTCAGTCGGGCCGTCATACAAATGACGGAAGGATAGTTTTGTATTCGTGTCAGTACACCACGTTATGTCGGCAAGTTATAACCACTCGCGATGGTATAGTTGCGATTCAGCAAGTTGACGGAAATGAAATTAAAGTTGACTTACATGTAAGAGTTCATGTTTGATGTTAATTTTAAATTTAAAATCTTTTATCTAGAGCACTAACGCTGATGTCGGAATACATTCTATAGTTGCAATACCATACGAAGAGTGGTCTTTGGATTACATTAAACCGAAATCGGTGTGTATTAGAAAAGATGGGAAATGTTTAGCTGCCTCTTTCCGACATCCACCTGAAACGAAGAAAATCCAATTCGAGGAAAATAACGTCGACCTTGCGACCACACAGTGGAATAATACTTACATGTGGTTGAACCCCAATTATGATACACTTGATTTGAAAGGAAAAGTGCCTACTCCTGGGTATTACACTTTTATTGTACATTACTACCAACCGTATTTCCAAGGTAAGTCAAGATTAATATGTAGCTTGTGATATAATTATTCCTTATTTCAGATTTTGACGTTACCGTTCTTATGCAAAACGGGCAATTTTACGAAGCGACTTTACCCGTTCATTATTGCCCAGCTCGGTCCGGCTGTCGCGCGGTTATAACCCAAACCGATGGCAACACAAAATTTTTATTAACTGAAAATTTCATGCTGACACTGAAGGTATTGTAACTAATAATAATGTAAAAATGCATCTAATAATTAAAAAAATGTTCAATCAACAGGAAGCAGGCAATAAAAATGTTTACCTCGACTATTTGCTAGTCATTCCGACGGATTTTTACAGCGACTTATATTTGGAAGAAGAAGATGTGGACCGCACCGGCGAATTTATCTCAACTTGTGGTAGCAATCATTTCAATATAAATACAACAACTGAAGGTTTTTGCAAAGATTCGGTATTTTCGATAACTGCAGGACACAATAGCGGGGCTTTGCCCTGCGGATGCGACTTTGCCGGCTCTCTCAGTTTCGAGTGTGATAAATTCGGCGGTCAGTGTCGCTGCAAACCGAACATAATCGGCCGAAGATGCGAAGCTTGCAAAACCGGTTATTTTGGTTTTCCCGACTGTAAACCATGCAATTGTCCATCGATTGCATTTTGCGAACCTACAACAGGTCAGTGTATTTGTCCACCACATGTGGTTGGCGAACGGTGCGACCAATGCGAGCCTTTGACCTACGGATATGACCCCATCATTGGTTGTGAAGAGTGTAAATGTAACATTTTGGGGATCGAGGGTACGGAGCAGTGTGATCTCAACAACGGTAGTTGCCAGTAAGTCCAAAAAATAACATTTCCTGTTTTTAATCCCCGAGTTTGCAGCTGCAAGACAAATGTTGTTGGGAGACAATGCGATAAATGTTTAGCCGGTCATTACGCCTTTCCCTATTGCGAGTTTTGTTCTTGCGACGATAGAGGCACTACTAATGAAATTTGCGATCAGGCGACAGCTGAGTGTTTCTGTAAAAAGAACGTTGTGGGACCGACTTGTGAGATATGTCGCGAGGGGACTTTCAATTTACAAGGCGAGAATGAGGATGGATGTACTGAATGTTTCTGTTTTGGGAAAACTACAAGGTGTACAAGCTCGAAGTTGATTAGGACGTCAATTCTTCAAATGTCTGATTGGGAATTAGTTGGACTTAATTTCAGTACCAGATTAGAAATTTATCCTTTGAATTTGACAGTCCATAATGCCGAAGAGAATTCAATTGGAGTCGCATTTAATTCGGTTGATTTTAAAAACACCACCGTGTATTTTACTGCACCTTACGATTATACAGGGAAAAAGTTGACAGCTTATGGTGGTTTTCTCAATTACACACTTTATTATACTATAACACCGGGTGAAGGTTAGTAATACTAAAAGTTTAAACAAATTGCGACATTTTTGTTTTTAGGTTCGGCTGTAAGTGAAGCTGACCTCATACTCGAGGGTAAAAAGACATATTTGACTTATTTGAGTTACGAGCAACCAACAGCTGCAGTCGAATATCACGCTAGTGTTCAGTTAGTTGAGGAAAACTTTGAATTGCCTACTGGTTTACCAGCGAGAAGAGATCACATAATGGAGGTATTGGAGGATTTGAGGGGTGTTTACATAAGGGCCACCTACTGGACTGCCAGTGTTACGACTAGGTAAAAAGGAAATTCATTACTCACTTGTGGACGCTCTGTATGTTTCAGATTGTCTAATGTGATTCAAGACGATGCAATCTCTTATCAATTCTTCACTGGAGATAACAGAAACTTGGCGTTTGCCCTCACAGTGGAAGAGTGTCGTTGTCCGGAAAATTACCAAGGCTTGTCTTGTGAAGAATGCGCCCCTGGGTACTATCGGGTCGAAGGTGGCCCACATGGGGGCTACTGTGTACCTTGTCAGTGCCACGGACACGCCGCTGAATGTGACGTTAATACGGGAATCTGTCTTGTAAGCCACGAAATTATTATTTTTTAATTTCTGTATGATTTTTTTTATTCAGAACTGTACTCACAATACTCGAGGAGACCATTGCGAACTTTGTGAAGTTGGCTATCATGGAAATGCTTTAGCCGGCACTCCGATGGATTGTTTAATTTGTGCGTGTCCTTTACCAGTCGCAAGCAACAAGTAAGGATTTCTGTTTTACTTGAAAAATAAAATCAAGTGGATTTGTTTTCTTAGCTTTGCTACAGCTTGCGATGTTAGTGCCGATGGCGAGAAAATCAGTTGTGAATGCAAGGAAGGGTATTTTGGGGCCAGGTGTCAGTCGTGTGCTGCAGGGTTTTATGGGAGACCAGAGTCATTAAGTAAGTCAATGAAGGCCCGGAAAGGTTTAATTTTTGATGCTTTTATGTGTTTATAACATTTGTTAAGAGTACAGACGGTGAAAAAAGAAACAGTGAAAAATTATAAAAATGTCGTTTAAAAAATTTATTTACAAAATTACGTAAAATTGATTTAGAGAAAACGTTTAATTTTTGACATCCATTAAACAAGGTTTGATTTGTTAATAAACAAAACAAGATAATTTAAAGTTTACATTACATGTTTTGAAATTTTTTAGATGATTATTGTAAGCCATGTCAATGCTCTGGTAATATCAACCCCGACGATCCCAGTTCTTGCGACACAGTCTCAGGAGAATGTCTACGATGTCTAAACAACACTTATGGCAAAGCTTGCGCCTTATGTGCTCCTGGATATTTCGGAGATGCCGTCAATTTAAAAGATTGTCAAAGTAAGTACAGTTTAGGCACAATAGAATTATGAAACACTTAAATATTGGATTGATATAAAAGCGCTACGAGTGAGATATGTAATTTTCGTGTATTATAATATAACACAGGGCGACAAAAAAAAGTCATGTCGTGACAACTTGACAAATTTTATATCATTTTGTTCGTCTCAGTGAGACAAATCAAATGCACTAAAAAAATTTCAAAAAGTCCACACACTTTGAACTAAATAATTTTTTTCTAATTTAAATGAATTTAAAATACTTTAACTTTAAAAAATCATTACTCAATAACTATTAGGCCGATTTCCTTCAAATAAAGACCCTCTAAAGGGATGGTCTTGCCCTTTAGGATGATATGAAATTTGAAATTGAATATTGGCAAAAAAATTTTTGAACAGTGTTTTAAGAAGTTCGAAGTAAATCGAAATAATCTAAGAAAAACCCTACTAGTGAACTTTTTTTTCATTATTACCATCGTGTAGAGCATCTCTTTATTAGTTGTAATCCAACTTTTCAAAAGAATATACCAAGTAGTTTTCAAGATATGATTTTTTGAAGTTAAGGTTTGCTATGCTAATCAAGCATTGCTCCATATAGGAGAAATGCATGTTAATCTTACTTAAAATTGCATTTTTATAAAAGTATTTGTTTTAAGACTCTTCTTTTGCTTAAAAATGGTCAACTGCATTTTCTTTGTTCTAATTAGAATAAACAAAAACTGTTTGTTTACTTAAAACAAACAAAGAGTGTCTGCGTACTAATTAAAGCAAATAAAGAGTTTTTTTGTTCTAAAAATGATTACTGATCATTGAGCAAAAAGGATCTAGCAGTTTAAAGCAGTAGCTTTAAATATAAGAACAAATCTTTTTCAAATTAAATTACTTCCATTCGGATTCCAACTTGTTCACTTTGTTCTAGCTTTCTGAACTTTTTTTTTTAAATGTTCTCAGCAAATGCTTTCTCATCACTTTCTACTGATGTTGAATGCAATAAGTCAGTTGCTTCGTGTGCAACTGTTATCACAACAACTACTACTTACAAGCTAACTGAAGCTGATCGTAGAATGTACCAACAAAATAAATCAGGTAACTTATTGCATTTAACATCACTCAAAAGTGATGACAAAGCATTTGCTTAGAACATTTTCAAAAAAAGTTCAGAAAGATAGAAGAAAGTGAACAAGTCGAAATCTGAATGGAAAGTTATTTGATTTGAAAAAGATTTGCCCTTATATTTAAAGCTCGTGCCTTAAACTGTTAGATCCTTTTTGCTCAATGATCAGTAATCATTTTTAGAACAAAAAACTCTTTATTTGCTTTAATTAGTACTCAGGTAATATTTATTTGTCTTAAGTAAACAAACAGTTTTTGTTTATTCTAATTAGAACAAAGAAAATGCAATTGACCATTTTTAAGAGAAAAGAAGAGTCTTAAAACAAATACTTTTATAAAAATGCAATTTTAAGTAAGATTAACATGCATTTCTCCTATATGGAGTAATGCTTGATTAGCAAACCTTAACTTCAAAAAATCTTATCTTGAAAACTACTCGGTATATTATTTTAAAAATTTGGATTCGTACTAATAAAACGATGCTCTACACGATGGTAATAATGAAAAAAAAATTACTCGTAGGGTTTTTCTTAGATTATTTCGATTTACTTCGAACTTCTTAGAACACTGTTCGAAAAAAAGTTTGCCAATATTCAATTTCAAATTTCATATTATCCTAAAGGGCAAGGTCATCTCTTTAGAATGGTCTTTATTTGAAGGAAATCGGCCTAACAGTTATTGAGTAATGAAGTTACAGTACGAGTATTTTAAATTCATTTAAATTAGAAAAACAATATTTAGTTCAAAGTGTGTGGATTTTTTGAATTTTTTTTTGTGCATTTGATTTGTCTCACTGAGACGAACAAAATGATATAAAATTTGTCAAGTTGTCACGACATGACTTTTTTTTTGTCGCCTTGTGTAATTGAATAAAAATCTTTAAGACGGTGCTTGTGATTGTCAAAATATCTAAATAAAACTTTCGAAATACCTCTTTTCTTAAGTAAAAAAATGATTCTAGGTTGCATATGCGACGAGCTGGGCACCGACCACTGCAACAGCTTCAGTGGAGAATGCGTCTGCAAACCCAACGTAATCGGCGAAAAATGTGACCGTTGCGAAGTGAAACATTACGGTTTCCAAACAGGGGCCGGATGTGTTCCTTGCGATTGTGCCGAGGCTTCGGATAGTTCTCAATGTGACGACGTCACGGGTCAATGTAGGTGCAAACCTGGAGTCTCTGGCAGATCGTGCAATCGTTGCAGTGCCGGCTTTTGGAATTACACAGCAGACGGATGTGTTTGTAAGTGTGCCAGTTTTTAGTTTTTCGGGATAAATATAGGAAAAAATTTCAGCATGCGGTTGCAAAAGCGAGTATTCGCTCGGTTTCGGATGCAACGCTATGACGGGACAGTGCGAGTGTCTTCAGGGGGTGGTCGGAGAGAAATGTGATCAGTGCCCCCATCGATGGGTTTTCGTGCCGGATTATGGGTGTCACCAGTGCGATAGTTGTACTCATGCTCTACTTGACGATACTGATGCGTTGAGACACCTAATTGACCCCATTATTGTTGAATTTGATGTGAGTAATTTAATTGTTGTGAGGTGTTTGCATTGTTTATCTTTAGTCGGCGAATTCCGGGTACTTTACTCGCCGAAAACTCGACAACATGAGAGACCTTTTGAATGAATTGAAGCCGAAATTTGACGAAGTCGACCCGAAACAGATCAGTTTGGATTTCTACATTGACGAGTTGCAAACTCTGGAACAGGACTCGAAGAATTTAAACCGAAAAGTGATTTTAAGTCTTTCCGAGTTTCATTTGTATGATTTCCTTTTCTTTTAGGCGAATTATTCACTAGAAAACAGTGACTCACTCAGAGTTAATTCTATTGATCTTAAAGAAAGGGCCGAAGTACTTTTGGATGACGTTCAAAATGCTGAAGACGATTCTTTCCGGGTAATTGACGAAATCAATAAAATCACTTTCCAGTTAAACAAAGATGAGAATCCAGAAATTGACTCGGCGTTAGAGGAGGGGCAGGAACTCCTGGATGCGATTAAAAGATATAATTTAACAGGTCGTGAAGAAATGGCCGATGCCGAGTTGGACAAAGTGTCTAATTTGTTGCTCAATGTGAGCAACTTTAAAATCCCAGTTGATTATTTGGAAGAGAAAGCCGACAAAGTTAAGGAAAGTCTGAAGAATTTCAATGACAAATTGGATGATTTGTACAATCAAACGCAGTACTCATTGAGCAAGGCTAATGAAGCGCAGAGGATCATTGAAAAGAGTGGGTAAGTACAAATACATAAGGTGTAAGACTGATTCCCGTTATAAAAAAAAAATTAAAGCGGAAAAAAGAAACAGATATTTATGTGAAAAATCTATCTTAGCACCCTTTTTTACATTAAATTAATCAAAACAAAAAGCAGTTCAGAAACACGTAATTTTAGAGCTTTCATTCTTCAATTTGTGTATGAAAAAACTATTGTTGGCGTTACAGAAAAAGTGATCTTTAAAACCTTTATTAGCACCTAATATTTCTTTTAACAACCACCACCTCACACTAATGAAAAAGTGGTCGGTGGATTTTGTCAAAATTAAAAACTAAAAATTTGTTGATTTTTGCCAACTTCAGAAACTACAAATTAACTTATTCAACTTCTAGAATTCTAGATGAAATAAAAGCAAATATTTGAGGATACAATTTTGGACTGGATGTTTTTGTTATTGTGAAATGTTAAATATAAAAAATAAACGATTCAAATCTAGAAACATATATCCTTCGTATTGAATTATGAATTTTCTCAAGAGTTTGAATACGTAACAATACACAAACATATTGACATCATTGCGATAATAATTTATTCTTAGTAATCAAAATATAATATCAGTCACTGGCCAGTATCTACATATTGTATAAATTTATTATCAAAATCTATTAACATAAATAGTTAAATTAAAAATACTCAATCTACACAATTCTTAAAATATTGAACAAAATCAATATATCCCACACTTTACATATTAACAATAATATAAATACCATATATTCAACATGAATTAACAACGTGAAAATCAACCATCGTCACTTAATTCCACGCACTTTCAATTCTTCTTTAAGTTTCCACTTGACGAGTTCCATACAAGCGATGGCATCTTCAGCACTATCGTGTCCACTAACACTATTCTGTATAATTTTTTTAAGAAAATCACTAGCTAAAGTCTTCAACGCCCTTTTATGCGGCAACCCCATTTTATGCGGAAACAACACCGAAGTGTCGATAATCGTTCCATGAATAATTTTCAGCGCTTTCATATCCGACTCCAAACTGTGCCCTATAAGTATAGTTTTCGAGTTACACAAATGCAAAATATTCGCTTGAACTTGCAAAATACTAGTACTGGTGCGTTCCATTTGTTCTTTGGTGATGCCGGAAAACGTCGTATTATAGTCAATGATCGGATTCAAAGGCTTCACTAGAGTCTCGTACACGGTTTTACAATCCGAATCGACGATGGTCACTCGCGTCAATTCCAAACCTTTAATGGTGTAACACATCTCGCAGTCCAAAGCATAGACGGCGTGACTCCTGGGGTCCTCGTCGGACTCGGGCTCCATCGTTGCCTGGAAGCCCTCGAGCTCGGCCTCACTACACGCTTCGGACACGTGAGTATTTGAAGTTGCACAGCCATTGTCGTCGTTACTTTTGCAACAAAGGTACGTTTGTTCGCCCCGCAACGTCCGCTTTTTGAGGGGGTGGTATATGCACTCTTCTGGGTACAACACGAACCCGTCGTCGTCCACTAGGTATACTTTGCCACACCTCGAGCACTTCCTCTGATTCTCTCGGAGACTCATCCCTGGAGTGATCTTCCGGTTTTTGATCGTCGCACGGCCGGGGATCTTACTCTCTCGGGGGTACCCGTGGATGTCCAGCTCTTCGTTTGTGAGGACGTAGCCTTTGATGTGGTTGTAGAACCGTTTTCCTTTGTAATTCGACGATGAGTCGTTGGTTGGGGCTTCGCCATCGCCTATGGGGCCCAGGCCGAGCTTGTCACGTTCTTGTAATTCCTTTCGGAGTCGATTCACAGCCAACATCGCCGAATTCTTGTATGTTGCGAGGACTTTGCACTTTTCGTAACATGCGAATTCCTCGTTGAGGGCTCTGGTGTAGGCGTCTTCTTTGATTAAGTAGAGTTTGACGCATTCGTCGGCGATCATTGTTAAAAATCGCGTTCGCACGTTTATAGGGAGTTTTGATTTATCAGCGTTTAACACATCTGGAATGTCCGATAGAGAAATATCGGGCACGTGAGCAATACGTTTGCCTTTCACCGTTTGGGCAGGCGTTTTGTTAAGTGTTTCGGTGGCTTTCTGCTTTGCTAATTCTTCAATCTTCGCTTTTGCTCTCTGAATCAAGTTTACGTTTTGGACCGCAGCAATTTTCTTAGGTTTGCTTTTCGAATTGTTGAGGATACTGTCGATTACGTTGGCATTTTCACTAGGTTTCGGTTTTGATGATAACTTCTGAAGTTTGTAGTTCCTCGCCGCTTCTAATAAACTAGGGGCCGGTCTTTTGACTGCTTGTTTCACTTCGTTTATTAGATTTTTCTGTTCGTTGTTCGCTTGAGCTAATTTGGCTAATTTAAATCGATTAGCCATCGCTTGGGCTGGATTAGCCTGAGTTTTTGGCTTCACGTAATTGATTTTCGATCCGCCTTCACTTGCGTTGGTTGAACTATGAGCGATTCGTTTCTTACTTGCATTAGTTTCTTCTTTATTTACTTCGGGCTCTGCAGGAGTAGGTTCTTTATTTTCCACTTTTGGGGGTTCATATTCTTTGAATATTTTGTAACATTCGGATAAAGTGTCTTCATCATCATCATCAAAATCGATATTTGGAATTTCTTCAAAGCTATTTGAGTACAATAATTCACTATAGTCCTCATCAGACGGCTCTGATGATTTTCGACGTTTTTTATTTTCTTCATCATCTTTTTGTGGTTTTTCTTTGACCCGTTTTTCCTTTTCTTTGTGACGTTCTCTACTTCTGCTCCTACTTCTTCTCTTATCTTTATGTTTGCTTTTACTTTTTTCCTTTTCCCTGCTACTTTTATGTTTGCTTTTGTGGTCCGAGTGTCTATCTTTTTCCTTACTTTTGTCCGATTTAACATCTTTCTCTTTAACGTGTTTGTCTTTACTTTCACTTTTACTCTTCTCTTTGGTATCTTTTTTATATTTAGACTTGTGAGATTTACTACTGCTACTACTACGTTTTTCAATCTTGTCTGTCTTCTCACTTGAAACTTTTTCTTTGTCTTTACGGTTTTCCTGATGATGGTTTTCTGATTTATCTTCTTTGACTACATTATTTTCTTTAGATTCTTTATTTTTTGGTTCTTCAATAAGATCGTCTATCAAGTCAAACTCAGCAGATAAATCTTCAAAATTGATATCATTTCGTAAAGAAATTTCAGGATTATATTCATCATTCGCAATATTTTGCTTAACTTCCCTAATGGCTTCAAAATCACTTGTTTCTTTTTCATCACCTTCCAAGTCATTTTCACGCTTACTAGCCGACGATAATATACTTAAAGGAGTCGGTTTGTAAGTTGGTTTTTCAAATGTAAACTTTGGTAAAGGCCTGATCGTCCGGTCAGGCCTGAACGCCAAATCTGGTACGTAACTGATTGGAATGTGGCTTTTTATATTGGCCAACTCGCTTTTTGGAGTAGGTTTATACGTAGGAACTTCTACTTCTTTTGGGGTTTCATTTGCGACTTCCTCTGTTGTTTCTTGGGTCTTTTTTCTGTGCCGAAAATGGCAATAAGGCCTGTTGCAAGTACTTTCAAAATAAGGACATTCTATGTCTTGAAAATAGCCCTTCGTCGGTAGCATTCTTACGGAGTTTTAAACTTATATTATTATTAGAGTTTAAATTAAGAAAATTTTACACAAAAACACTTCAATTATCACAAACATAACCTCACATTGTTTGGGATTTTGCTTTTCTTTTATTAATTCGTGACGGAAATGTCATGAACTGTCATTGTAATGGCCACGTGATCATAAAATATACGCGGTAAAAATTCAATTTTAAGAACATGGAACAACGAAAGTGATCGAATTATTTGCGAGGAACGGAAGAACGGGTCTGAAGTTATTTTTATCTGCTTCCGTTTACTGGAATCATGTGGGCAACAGATGTTGAGCGCAGTTCAAGGACGTACAAGACACACAAAAACTAAAAATAATGTAAATCGGATTTGTAATCAGGTTATTCACTTTTAAATAAACGCAGTTAAAGATAACAATGCTAAATTTTAAATTATTTTATTAATTGAAGTTGAAATGAACAAATAAAAAATTACGTTTGAAAGTCATTTCAAAGGAATAGTAAAAAAAAATTTTCCCTATTTACGGCAACTAATTGATCCTTGTTTAAATTACAGTAAAGAAAGGCTTAAGAAAAAACTCGACGATATTAAACAGCAGACAATGGACTCGAAAAACAATTTAGAGGTTTCCCAAACTCTGAATGAAAATTCGACCGAATTCAAAAACAAAGCCCAAGAATTGTTGGCGGAGTTACAATCTAGGGCTTCGAGTCTAGAAGATTACGTCAATGATTTTAAGAAGTCGGTAGATGACGACGAGGCCCAAATCGAGGAGGTGCAGCGTTTACAACCCGAAGTTGAAAGACACACCAAAAACTTAACTGAAAAAGCAATGCTTCTCGATAATCTTTTAAACGAATCGAGAGATTTATCGGGAGGGGCTGTAAGAGCAGCTAATGCCTATAAAGACATAGTCCAAGCGGTCAAAAATGCCAGCGATGCTGCAAAAAAAGCGAAAATCGATGTAAATAAAGCCTACGACATGATACCTGACGTTGCAAATAAAACCGACAATGCGGACCAAACGTCTTCAGTATCATTGAAGGATGCTTTCGAATTATACCATTCAACAAACGATGACTTAAAACCGAAACTCGAAATGGCCATTGCGAAATACAAGCCGATCAGTGAGAGCCACAAAAAAAACAAAGACATGTTGGATAATATTGAGAAAATTAGTGAAAATATCCAAAAGCAGTCCTTGGATAAAGCTTACGCTCTCGCTGTTGACAAAGCGGACAATGCGATTCGACATGTATCAAATATTGAAGGCATCGCAGAGGGAATTAAGTTTGACAAGTTGAAGAATCAGACGGAAAATGCAACTTCGTTACCCAAAATTGTCGACGATATGAATCGGGATTTGCTACAAACGCAGAAACAATTGAATACTGTCAATGATAAGTTGCCCTATATCATCGACATGATGGATGAGTTACCCGAGCAGCAAGCCCGACTTCAACGAACTGTTGATAATATTGCCAATTCGATGAAGAAGTTGAACCAACAGATTATTTTGGCACGAGATCTGGCCAATCAGATCAAAATAGGAATGAAGTTTTACCCCAACACAACTTTAGAACTTGAGATCCCAACGAATCTGGAAGAACTTAGCACTTCCGAACGGATTTCTGGGTACTTCAGAACGGAGAAACCATATGGACTGCTGTGGTACTTGGGTAATCCCTTGGGGACTAAATTAAGACGAACGAAAACGGTAGGTAATTGAAAATCTTGGTCTGATTCATCCAAAATGTTCTTTAAAGGATGATTACATGGCGTTAATTATACAAAATGGTTACCCCGTCTTGAAACTCGATGTTGGAAATGGCGTCGAACAAATAATCAACGAGAAATACGTTTCTGACGGTGTGTGGTATCAATTCATAGTGGAGAGGTATTGAAATTGTAGTTTTTTCACTTTTGCTTAATTAAAATTTCTAGAACTGGTCACAATGCAAAATTAACAATTCGCGAAGAGTTACCTGGAGGCATTGAAAATATCACTCAGAAAGAAACCACACTAGAAGGCCCCTTATCCATTTTCAATTTAGACAAAAACAAGTCGAAACTATTCGTTGGAAGTTTCCCTGTGAATTATGCGATGCAAAAAGAAATCGATGTGAATTCTTTCGAGGGAGAAATTGAGGATATGGTGATTGGCGACAAACCAGTTTCGTTGTGGAACTTCAACAATGGTTTTGAAAATAATCACGGAGCCGTCGAGAGAGACAAATTAGTTAATTTGCAACCAAGTACCGGCTTTAGGTTTAACGGAAACGGTTATGCCATTTTGAACGCACGTTCGTATGGGTTTAGGACCAGATCTGATATACAACTCAGTTTTAAGACGTTTGCAACAGAAGGATTGCTCTTCTTGGCGGGGCAAGACAAGACGTTTATAGCGCTGGAACTCAGGAATGGGAAGGTTCTATTCCAAGTGAGTTATTTTCAGAGTTTGATTTTCTTACAATTATAAATAAAAATTGTTTTAAAGTATAATTTGGGTCAACAAACTAAAGTGTGGCACACGACGAAAACCTACAACGATGGTAGATGGCATGTGGTGGAGGCGAGTCGTGAAGGGCCCAAAGGCCGATTTGTGGTGGATAACGAGGATATACCAGATACTACTCCTGCAATAGATGGCACGTTTATTGAACCTATTGAAACTGTTTCATTTGGTGGTTACCCGACTAAGCATCGGTACATTGATGTCAGTCAAACGAGATTCGATGGTTGCATTGATAACGTTATGATAATGGGCAGTCCGGTCGATTTGAGAAATAATATTAAAGTGTACGATGTCACTCCCGGATGTCCGGTCAAAGTAGGTTTTCAACTCGTATGAAAAGTTGTAATTGACCAAAAATTTTAGTTCTCCCAAATGGTGTCGTTTGATAAACATAGACCGGGGTATGTCGCCCACGGCGGCGTGGCTATCAACAACGATTTCAAGATAAGTCTTAAATTTAAAACAAAGGAAAAAGATGGCTTGATTTTCTACGCCACGGATAAGCTGCACGAAAATAACATTTCGCTTGCACTCAGGGACGGTTATCTTGTCTTAATCAGTCAAAAAATCGAGTTGGTCTCGAAAGACACATTCAATGATAGTCTCTGGCATGTTGTGTCAGTGATGCATAACGATCACGAATTAAGAATTGATTTCGACGACATCGACAGCAGACCGTAAGTTAGATAATTGTATTGAAAAATTGAAAAACTGCATTTTTTCCAGACTCGACACTAAACCTCCACCATTATTTATCCTCCACGGCTCCTTATATGTAGGTGGCCTACCAAGACGAATCATTTTATCTCCTGGTACCGTAGGCTCAGAGTTACCATTCAAAGGGTGCATCGGTGACCTCACTTTGAAAGGAAACGTCATCAATTTTGCCAACAGCACGGATAAGTTTAATGAAATTTTAGGAAAGTGTATTTATGACAAAAATTACAAAGCTATCGATAAAATTGATAAAGGTTAGTTGTGTAAATACATTAGTTACCAATATAAAATTATTTATTTTAGAACCAACATTACCACCCCTTGAACCGCTAGGACCCGCCACAACCGGGGGCTACGGCGACGTGACGAAGTACCGCCCATATGAACGTACGTAAATCACCCGGCGCACCCTCCATTTTTACATGACTTAGATTCAAATTGTTTCGTAGAATGTTTTACAATAGCTGAGTACAAAACAGATTGCCTGCATAAGCAACGTTAGCGGAAAGAGCACTTTATTGTTTTATTTTGGAAGAAAACTTTTATTCAAAACATTATTGTGTTAAAATATTTTGATTCAGGTTAATTTCCGGCTTAAAATAAAGCCAAACCACTTGAGAATATCACAAATTGCTTTATTTTAGCCTAAAATTTGGATTGAAGAAATTATTTTTATAAAATACATTAATTTCGAATTAATTATGTATTAAAATCTATCAAAATTTAATTTAAAATAGCTGAAATTGCTTTATTTTAGCCTAAAATTGTAATTGAAGCAATTATTTTAATAAAAAACATTAGTTTTGAATTAATTCTGTATTAAAATCGAGCAAAATTGGATTGAAAATAGCTCAAATTGTTTTATTTTGAGAGAAAAATATTATTTAAATTATTATATTGTTGTAATACTTTGATTTAGGTTGATTTCCTGCTTAAAAGTGAGCCAAATGCATTGGAAATAAATCAAATCGTCTTATTTTGGACAGAAACGACGAATAAACACTCTTCTGTGTTCAAATCGAGCAAATTGCCGAGTTTTCTGGCTTAAAATTCAGCCAAAACGATTGGAAATTAATCAAATAATCTTATTTTGGCCGGAAACGACGAATAAACACACATTTCGTTGTTTTTGTTTAAGAAAGCCATGCAATTTAATGTATTTTAACAAAATAAGTACTTATTAGCTGTTTCCGGTCAAAATAATACCATTTAAGCAAATTCCGTTTGGTTTGGCTCGATTTAAAGCCAGAAGAGGTTGTAAATAAATGTTCAACATGTACTATTCTGTAATTTTCGCTGTATATATCGCTCTTCGTGGCCATTTCATAAAAAAATATTAGTCTTGTAATGTAAATTGTAAAAAATAAACAACTCTTTACAAATATCTCGCAAAAGTATATGTATGTACATACTTCATTATTAATAACTAACAAAAATTACTTCTGTGTTTGGTCAAAATCTGCAAGTCAAAGGGGGCGAAAAGTGCACGTTCCACTAGAGTAATTTTAAATTTTACTTTTGTTCAAATCGTACACTTTGTCTATCTGATTTCAGAAACTACTATTCGAGGTGACGGTGGTCGAGACGACTACGTGACTAGAACTGATGAAGAAGAACCAGTGACAGAAGTAGTTCCACTACCACCTCTTCCACCGGTCACTCACGGGGCTGTTGGTTACCCACAGCCCACGACGCCTCCACCACCTCCGAAACATTCATGTGCATTGCCAATTTCTCCTCCCCAAACTAGTGCAGGGGTTTACAGATTCGGGGCTCAAAAAGACAGTAGACTAGAAATAGATAAATTACGTGGTCGGTACAAGAAGCAATTCGATTTTGTCCTCAATTTCAAGAGTGATGATCCAGACGGCATCATTTTTTACTTGAGTGATGATAACGAGACTCATTCACAGTACGTAGCTGTGTTCTTGCAAAATGGACAAGTAAGTACTCCATTAAGAGGTGTCTTTGATAATAATTAATATTTTTCAAGGTTGTTTATACGTACAGTGACGGCAGGAGTTCGTCAGTGTTGAAAACAGACGGTTTAAAAGACTACAGTGATAATGAATGGCATTTGGTCGAGTTTAGCAAAGACGAGCATCGCGCTAAACTAGTTTTGGACGACGTAGTCGTGTCCGATAAGCCTGTAGCCAACATGCAAAAAATTGATATTAGACCACCTCTCTATGTAGGGGGTTTAGATCCTAACCATTATAACAAAATTCAAAGCAAATTGGTAGTAACACTTTATTAGTTTTTCTCATTATACGTGAAACTATCTTTTAGAACCTCACAAAATCATTCAGTGGTTGCATTCGCAACATGAATATGAACAGCAAACCTCTAGAATTCCAAGCACAGAATCAAATCGGAGTTGTCCCCTGCTTTGACCAAATCGAAACTGGAGTATTTTTCCCAGTAACGGGTGGTTTTGTCAGAATTAAAGAACCGAAGTTTAAAGTGGGAGAAGTGTTCAATGTGAAACTTGATATCAAGCCGAGACGAGATTCGGGAGTTTTGATTGCCGTTAATGGTAGGAGAGACTTTTTCGTCTTGGAAATGATCAATGGTGAGATGAGTCTTACTGTTGAAAATGGAAAAGGCCCGATTAGAGCTGTTTACAATCCGAATAAGAAGTTCTATTTCTGCGACGGTCAATGGCATAGCATCCAAGGTATTGTATACCTATCCTGTTGTTTCTTTAATTTACACATTTTTTTAGCCGTAAAATCGAAAAATGTTATAACCCTTTCTGTCGATAATGTGTTCACTGACCCCAAACTCGGGGATCATTCGTCGACTTCTACTGACACTGCCAGTGCTCTCTTCTTAGGTGGGCACCGATATTTGAACGCAACTAGAGCGAGAGGAATTGTGACAAGGTTGCCATACGTTGGATGTGTTAAAAATATCTTTATTAACAATGACCCAGTTGAGATTAATGCAAGTATGGCAGAAGGGGATGTTATCGTGGGCACTTGCCCGACTAATTAAAAAATAAATCGTTTCTTTACCTACGCTTTTGTTTATTCTAGCAATTAACAATTTTTAAGAAATTATGTAGCCGATTACTTTAGCCAAATAAATGATTTCAATGAAATTAATTCAAATTTTCTAACAAAGGAAAGTGTGTTTCATCGTGATCACAAAGACCTGACACTGTTCAAACAAAATTTCATATAAAATCATCCACGCTTCTATCACGTCACTAGAGCGCAAAATGCGTATCATTGCTCTTTACTTGATTGTGTCCTTTCGTTGTATTCTATGTAGAGATGCTATTCAATTTTTCATAGCACATAAAAAGGTGAATCAGGCTTCAATTGAAGTACTTGAAAATGTAGGCAATTCGACTAAAATTTGGTTGGAGTATAAATATGTTTTTGCAACGGAAGACGACAGTGTATTAAATACCACCTTAAAAGTTGGAGTATTTGCAAAAACAGCATTAACGTTTGATTTTCTCGATTGTCGGATGTCAACCATCGACAATCAAACTGTTACCAAAGGTTACAGTATTGATATAATTGAAAATTTACGAGAAACCTTGAATATCAGGTAAAAAAATCCTTATTTAAAAGTCTATGAAAATAATTTTGTTATTCCAGTACTGAATTTAAAGTAATAAACAATTTAACACATCTTATTAACAATAAAATTGATTTGGTGATTTGTCACCCACATATTGAGAATTTGCCTTCAAATGTAACAGAATTATATCCTATTATAAAAAGCAAGTACATTTTTTAAATAAGTAGACAAAATACTTGCTTATTTTTTTATTTTAGTCTAATATTAGTCTACAAACCCAGTAAATTGCGATTTACGAAAGACATATTTATTTTAACATTTGCCGGCTCATTGTGGTTGGTTTTCTTTGCAATAATGATCCTACTGGCTGTATGTTTACGAATTTCAACCAGAAAGTACTCGACAATGAGACCAACGTACGAATCATGGACGTGGGTTGAAATAACACTATGGGCCATTGCTGCTGCTTGCCAACAAGGTAAAACAATTCTAATATTGTCATTACTAAACGAGAATTTAAAGGCCTCAGTCACACACCTAGTGGTTTTGCCAGTTGTCTGATATTTTTCTTGGGATACTTAATGGCGTACTTATTATACACGGGTTTTGCGGCTGCTATAACTTCAATTTTGGTTGAAAATGTCGAAACAAACGCCAACTTACAGAATCTCAGAAGTGACAAACTTCACTTGATCAGCCCTGAGTGTGTCCGAAGCGAGATAAAACATTTTAAAGAAAGATTTGTAATCTTTTGATTTTTGTAGAAAAATCACAGCAATAACTATTTTTCAGCTTGTAACAGAATACGTCAATGACTTAAATGGTCTGTTTGAAAAGTTAAGCATAAACGATAGGATCGGTGTAGGTCCTGAAATATCAATACAGCAATACATGGTGAATAATTTGAGTCTTGACGAAATTTTGTCTTTCCAAACAATGAAACTGAATGTGAGATATACCCAAGGCTTTCTTACGTTGCGTAATAATTCATGGAAAAAAATCATAAACAGGCAGTAATATTTAATTATTTAATGTTTGTTATACCATTGTTATTTTTCAGTGTAATTGCTTTAAATGAGTTTGGAATTTTGCAAAAAATCCTCAAAACAAATTTACAACCTGTGTCAACTCTCAATTTGAATGCTGGTTATTCAAGTGCCGGCCGAGAACATGTAGGGTCTGCAATTTTATTATTTTTAGGTGGAGTTTTAATCGCTTTATTATTTCTCGTGTCAGAATTCGTGTTTTACTTTTACAAACGGGGACGTAATCACATTACAAAATAAAAACTTACTTGTTTATTACAAGAATTGGCAGCACATAAGAACTACAAAATGCCCAACAGAAGTTAAGTACATCATATTTAAGCCTCAATATTAATCACATTACAAAATAAATAAAAATTCACACCCCTTCAGAACGTACACTTGCGGAATTAAAATTTCGGGCAGTATTGTCAAATTCATGATGTAAACTCTAAAACAACCTTTACATTAATAACCTCATTTTTTACTCTTGTCATGTTTATGTCATTTTCACTTAGGTATTTACTTTCAAGAATATTGATTTTTGGCTTAATAACGGGTAGGCAGCATATCAAAGCGATCATTTAATTTTACTTAGTTCAATTAATAAATTTCCTAAGACATTTAATTAACAATTTTAACAACAAAAATAAGTTTAATTGTCAAATGTCAGTCATGATGACAGTAAAAGGTAGTTTACAGTGGACTTTTTAAAGTGACAGAAAAATACTGCCCAAAATTTTAATTCCGCAACTGTACAACAAAAAATGTTTAAAACCCAACAAAAATTAACTGCAAGAAACTACAAATTAGTCTAATTATTTGGCCCTTTGAAGTTTCCTTTGCTAGTCTTCAATTGATCAAAATGTGCTCTAATAAGTAGGGGATGCTTCAAATAGAATTTAGTGTTTGATGTTTCCATACCTCCATTATTCAAAAAATTTAGAAATAAACATCACATTTTTGACGTGACTAGTGTTATGTCAGACCAAATCCGATTGGATGTAGGAACGACTTTGTTGTGAATTTTTGAGATCAAATGGTTAGATCATTAAACTATTCGTAATTAAACAACGAAACGAAACGGAGAAACAGCACACCCACCAAACATTTAAGCTTGTGTCTGTCAGCGTTTCCGTTTTTGTTAAAAAATCAATATATTAACAGCAAAATTTTTGCAACATCTAAAAGCAATCAATAATCCTATATGCCATAGTAAAAAACATGCAGTACGGTGATTCAGCAGGTAGAATTATTGATAACTTTAAGCTTTATAAAATCAACAAATGAATACATTTTGAAATAAAACTTGATGATGCAGTCAATATTTTTAAACTGAATTATTTGCTTAGCGGTAGGAAATAGTTTAAATCAGATGATTAAGGCGAAGTGATTTTATTAAAAGTTGTGTTCATCTCATTTGCTTATTTTCACTTTTTTGTTCAATTGAAAAAATATTGATTAGTAAATAGCCATGTTTTCTTCTTTAATACATTATGTATTTTTTTCAACAAAGCAACTGAAAAATGAAGACCGCGAAATTGTCTTCAACATTATAAAATATTTGTTGTATACATTAAAAAATAAAATGTAGGTAGGTAAACCACCGCCTTAATAATTTACTTCTAGTCCATAAATAATGGAACATTGCAGCTACGGTTTTTGACTTTATTTCGAAATCGCGGCTAATGTGTGTACAAAACTGTTAATCTGATCAAGTTGAATAATTCTATGTCATTAGTGACCCAATTGCTGCAAGCATTTCCTTCCAATTTTCTATTTTTACAATCAAATTATAATTTCTAAAATTCACTGCATCATCACCAGAATGGAACCATTTGTTGCACTTGTTGCACACACAGACCCCAGATTTTACAAGCAATGAGAAAAATTATGATTAAACTTAATGTAAATTAATGTATTTTAAATCAGATTAAAGGAATGTGATTTTAAAAATAAAAACAATAAAGGTTACTCTATACCATGAGCAAAAATCATAACTAAACCTGGCTCCACCATCATATCTTCCCCCATATGCGTATTGTCACATGCCAGTACCAGCACAGCCTGCTTGCCTGGTACTCTTTTACATACATAATTTTCGTATTGTCTCCTATTGTTTTGCCTGGTTTCCAGCGAACTCAAGCCAGGGGGCCACCTCCTCTCGTGACAATTTTCCATTAGATCGTCTAATATATGATTAGGACACCCCATTTCAGTCAATGTTCTTCTGATCATTCTCTGGAAAGAAATTATTAATTTGAACAATTGGTGGTTTTAACGTACTTGAAGAACTTCATCTGGTGTTGAAATCATCCCTCCCCAACGGGTGACTCGCGCCCTTTGGAGGAAGTTGCTCCACCTTAAGACTTCATCTCTCTCCATTGCATCAGCAATTGCTCTCATCGAAGGGTTTGATATTCTCATGGCCCTCATGAATTCTTTAAGCAATTGCATTTCGCGTTTTTGTTCGTTAATTAGGAAGCGCTGTTCGGTAATTTCCTGTTGGAAATCGTTTAATTTCTGCTGTTGGGTTTGTATCAAGGCTCTTAGTTCTTTAACGCAATTGTGATCTTTTAATTCATCTTTAGGAATAACTAAACCACAGCCCTTTTCACAAGGTAAAGGTCTCTTAGGATTATGTTCGCATTCTTCAAGGTGGGACGAAAGGGAGTCTAATTTTAATACGCGAGTACAGCCATACTGAGCGTTATCACAATTTATACACAGTCTAGAAGAAAAATATTGTATCAACTAATTTTGAACTTTTTGCCTACCTAGAAAGCAAATTTCGTAAAATTCGGGGCACTGGTCGCAGTTGCGCTGATGTAACACTTTGTCTGTCAACAGGACAAGTGGGTTGTCTTGTAATCCATTCAGTTATGCAAGATTTACAAAATGCATGTTCACACACAGGAGCCTGAAAAATACAATCAATCAGATACTTAAAAAAAAAACAGTAAAGGTTTCTTTGTGAGTCAAATTTTACACTGCAACAAAATAAAAAGAAATGATAAACACACCTGCAAGGGGTCTTCCAGTACTCCTGAACAAATAGGACACACTAATTCTTCATCTACATCTCCTTGAAACCTGTTTATATCAAAACCCATTTTAATAGTAACTATCCATTACAATTTGCACGAATTTTAACAATGCGATTTATTTGAAAAGCTAAAATCATATGTGACAAATGTCAGCTATCAACAAAATGTCTGACACAGAAACAAAAAATTTAGGGATTTTCACTTTGTTGTCTGTCAGGTTGGCTAAAAGTGATGTTGTGATCTAACCTAAGTTTTTTATATATATTGTTTATTTTTTATTCATAACACTCAAAAATTAAACTCTTGGATTAATACCTTTAATTTTAAAAGAACTGGTTTGTTATAAATTTTATGTAGAGGAATGCTATTATCCAAAAATATTTTGTAGGGGTCGTAATCATGAGCAAAACAGTCGTCTCCAAACAAAAGGCCAAAAAATATTTCATTAAAAAGAGTTTCAACAAACGATTGAGTTTGGAAGTTAATTTGAAAGGATTTCTTTGCAGTTGCAACAATAGGGAAAAAGACTGCATTAAGGAATCTTACAACTTACTAAATGAATATGCAGACAAATTGTATAAAGACAGTAAAGAACCTGAAGATGATCAAGAAATTGACGACTCATTGGCTAAAGAAATCTCCGAATTGAAACGAGACAACAAGAGTCTTGAGAAAAGATTCCAGGTTATAGAATCTGGTGCCAAAAATTTCTTATTTATTAGGACAAGTTTGGAGGATCCTGTTGAGTTAGCAGAGACTATTATAAAAGATATTGATGCAAGTAAGACTCAAAAAACTAAATTTTTGCTAAGATTAATACCAATTGAAGTTACTTGTAAGGCAAATGTTAATGACATTGTTAACGCATTTGTGCCTCTTGCCCAGAGACACTTCGTGGAGTCTCCACAAACGTTTTGTGTGGTTTTTAACCACAGAAATAACAATGTTGTTTCAAGAGATGAAGTCATAAAAATAATTGCGGGTAAAGTGTCAGAGCTGAGATCTGACCACAAAGTTGATCTTAAAGGGGCAAAAGTAGCTATTATTGTTGAAGTAATAAAGGGGTTTGCTTTTTTAAGTATTATACCTGACTATTTGAAATATAAAAAGTATAATTTATTGTCACTTTGTAATCAAGAACAAGTAGTTAATTAATAAATTTTGTATACTTACAGTAGTTCATAATAAAATTTTCTAATAATATAAAAAATTTATTTTCAAGGTTTTGTTCTAGAACAGATACATGGTTGCATTTACTACAACATGAGTACACATAGTGTAGGTTTGACTATTACCATTGTTTAAAATTTTAAAGTTGCATTAAAATGTTTAAATCAACAAACGTAATTCAAGATTTGCAATTAATAAAGAAACATTACATTAAAGTAAATTATGGTAAAAGTTTAATATCTTTATGCTTAATGGTAAATAAGTTTTTGTACAAATAAGAAAAAAATATAGAAAAAAAATACAGTATTTTAAATGCACTGTGAACATTAAGCTCAAAAAATATAACAAATACCACTTCCTAAAAGTTTTCATTGTTAATTAATTATGCTATCACTACTTTAATTACATCGGTTTTTTTCAATCAAGATTAGGAATTATTGGTTTGTTTAAAAATATAAATACTTACATTATAAAGAATTCACAAATTCAGTTATACTAAACAATGGTGACATTATTATGCACAATTATACAAGTCCAATTGCCTATGTAAAAATATTCAACCTTAAAATTAATCACTGCCTAAAGCGGTAATTTTTATGAAAGCTTTTGTGGTGGAAATTACGCCGATGCCGGTTGCCCGAATAAAAGGAGTTATTTTGACTCCAATTCTTAGTGTTATGAAATTCCTGAAACAAATAATTTTAATAAAATATTTAAATCAAGTTAAAAAAATTAAAAATACTCACTTGTACAGGATTGTATCCTGGATTAGACTTGTAGGAATTGTTCAATTTTGGATGTTTCACTTTGCCTTGATCCGAATTATCACTCAAAGCTCTTTTCCTGTCTTCTCTCCTCTCATTGCTAATTTCCTTTTCTAAATGAGACCTCGTCCCGTTCCACGAAGAAACCGGGGCCGAGTACCCACTATGTGACATTTTGAATAATTCGCTAACAGTCCCATCTTGTTTTTTCTCTCCCCAACTTTTGCCCTGTGTCGTTGGTTCAGTCGAGGTGACCTTCCAATCACCCACCGCCGCTTTCGTCGAAACTCTATACTCTGCATCGTGTGGCGACTGATTTGACTCATCTGAACAACTCGAATCGTCCATTTCATAAGGAACCAATTTGGTCGTAACCGGCTGAAACAACCCTTTCTTTTTCGCCGTTTCCGGATTCGTCGAACTAATCGGTCTTGTACTATTAATATTCCGTGACGACATTGTCCGATTCTTTTGCGATAACGGTGATTTGGTGTTTTCCTCGTTATGTACACCAGACGTTGCTTTTTTCGGAGGAAGAGGAGGTGTCACCACAGGTTTGTTTTCTTTTTGTTGATTTTTTTTGTCTTGTGGATTTTCCGGTTCGCTATCGCTTATTCCTGAATTCTCCGGGTGGCTGCCGTTACCGTTTGTGACCAGCGTGGGGTTCACCCCGTTGATTTTCTTATCTAATCGGTCGGGGGGTAATTCAGGACCGTAGACTTTGTCGCTCGTAAAACCGATACCGTTCAATGAAGCTTTTGATGTGTTGTTACTAGTGTTTGCTTCGGAAGAAAGTGGAGGTTTTATTTTGTTGTTTGTTCCGTTATTTGATTTGGTAAATGGAGATGATTCTAATTCGTACAACATTATGTATGCGTTTGTATTGAACACAGCTTGGTGAGATATCACCCGCACCTGCGAAGAAAAGAGTGTTTTAATTATCAATTTTTAAGGTTTAATCATCGCAACAATCGTTCTAGTTGTAGGTCATCCTAGAGCCACTTAAATTTTATTAAAATAAATTTAAATTTAAGCAATCCTACCCTCACTAGAACTTTTTTACATTTATATTTTTGGTTCGAAAAATAAGAATTTGTGTCTGCCGCCTTTTTATTATTTAGTTAATTGTTATCCTTACCATACTATCGTCAAACTGGTAAAAATTACCAGACGGCGCTTGGGCAACTGCAGTGTAGTGGCCACAATTAACAGTAGGTCCCATATGTGTGACTAAGGCAACAAGTCTATAGATCAGTGGAACACTGGGACGATGTCGGGCATACCTTGTTAAATCCAGTCTTTGTCGAAAATGTATATGTTTAGTTATTTTATTATTGCTAACAGAAAACCGTTTAAGCTGTATACAAAGAACCATAGGGGCTCTTTCAAGGGAGAACTGTTTTGTTGCAGGTACCTAAACAAAACAAAAAAAAACACCAATCAGTAAAAAATCAAGCCCTCAAGTAAAAATACTCACTTTTTTCTGACAAGACTGACAATGATACGAGTCATCGTCCAATTTTTCCCTAGAGAAGTAACCTTCCAGTGCTTCATCGAGCGTCTGAGCTTTCCTAATGTCTAATAGTAAATCTTGAAAGTGCTGGAAGGTGGTGCTGACGTGACCACACTTCAAACATCTCACGGCCGATCTTAAATATCCACCTAATATTTGATTGAGAGGTGTGGTTTCTTTAACTTTTGAATCGAATTCGGAATGGTTTTTAAAGCGACTTAAATAAGATTTTTCCATTGCTTCTACAAGATATCTAAGAAATTCGTGCGCATCTTCTTGTCGACCCGGGATGAGATTTCGACAAACCAAACGCAATTTGTTATAGATGAGAAGAGGACGGATTGAGTTTGTGTTACGTTGTTGGGAATCTTGCAGAGTCTTCCGCATTGCACAAATTATGCACAGTCCACCTGGTAAAACAGAAAAGCGTCTGAATCAAAATAATGATAATAAACGATAATAATCCATTCACTCTCAATTCAGTTAATTTAGAAATAATATTATTCACAAGAAGAAATTTTTATTTTCTGACTCCTGTCATTAGTACAAATAATTTCGAATTGTTTTAACATGGTTCTCGTGTATTGCTTTGTTTTATAGTTCTTGTTATTTATTATATTCTCATTAAAAACCAGTTCTAATCAGAACTAATCGTTACTATATGATTAGAATTTTAGTGGTAAGTTGCATCAGTTAAAAACTAACTTGTACACATCTACAATTATTTACAGTATCTTAATTATTTAAATATACACACCAATTTTTCCAACAACATTGTTAGTCGACTCATATTTTTATATTACACATTGTGTTTCTGTAATATAACTTTTATAAATAATAATTAATTGTAATGACAAGGCCATGCAGTTTGCAATTTCCGCGTGAAATTTTTGTAATGCTTACCGTTTGCAACCACGTAAGTCTAAAAACAACGTATTTACTCAATCACACGAAAAATAAACAAATAAGACATTCTTTCCTTTTTGAAAAATATCATTTTTGAACTATTATTTTTAAAAAAGTTTGTATTATTGGCTATTATTTATGCATAACCCCTCTGTATTTGACATATACCCTGTATTATCAGAGTCTAACGTGCAAAAGTAGGTATAAACATTCAACCAACAAAAATAAAGTTCAAAAAGAAAACATGTAGTAATTAACCAAAGAACCAGTATACTGAAAATATCTTTGGTCTTGTCGGCAATGCAGGTATCTATATTAACCATATTGTTGCAGATCATTTTTTTATTATTTAAAAATTAAAAACATTATGAACAGTGATAAAGAATAGGTATGCGCAGCAATTATTTTATTCTTAATTTTTTATATTAAGAAAAACACTACTATATACTTATAAATCTAATTTATTTTAGATAAAGTTTTCTCATTAAAAGATATTTGTTTGATTTTTACTTGATAAAAACTATCTATTTATCTGGCTTTTTCCATGCTGCATTTAACAAACAAGGTATTTTAAACCAGTAAACACATAGAGCCAACTTTTAATAAATTACGTAAATAAAAATGCTTATGGGCTACAAACCTGAATCTTGGCATTCAGCAGTATGTTCCTTATCAGAAATGAGCCAATTGACAAGAGCGGGAACGTGGAAAAGTGCTTGTAGTGTAGAGTTGAGATAACAGGTATTTCCCATGTTAATCATTCCAGCCCCCACTGACCAGTCACATTTACTCCAACCTAACTGCACAGCTTCAAAAGGATACAACTCGTAATTAGCCAACTTGAGCGTTTCATCCGCGCCCATATCTCCTTCAGGCTTACTGTTGATGAAGAGAAAAATCACACGAAGTCCCTTTAAAACCGGCGAAACTCACCTGGGCTGCGGAGTCTCCGAGCTTTTCAAAACGATATATTTCGACTTGAGTTTGTCCAAAACGGTGCTTTGGTAGCTCCCAGCCGGCTCGAAGTCTATGTTGGACAGAAGGGCCTTCTTGGTGGAGCCCGCCAATTGCGTGTCCAAGGGGCTGTCGTCGCTCTTGGTGAGGGCGGAGCGCAAGGCCGCGTTTACGGGCTCCAGGGTAGACGCCGGCATCCCTGTGACAGCTACACGTGCCAGAGAAACCCCGCGTTGTGGCGGCCACCTACCGTATTGTTTGCCTTCGTACGATGCTAGCTGGGGCTCGGGGGCTGCCGGTGCAGCATAGTCACGAACACTGGCTTGGGGGTAAGTTGGCGCGACGCGGCTTTTTATCAGATAACGCCAATTGCACGATTTATTTAGAACATTAGAGACACCACCACGAATTTGCTCCGAACGACGATTTTCTGCTTGTTGTCACTAGTGCGCATGACAATTCGCCCCAAGGGCAGCGCGACAACTACGAGCTCTTTTGGTATTGAACCGTACTTTTCCAAATCTATAATTTTTACAGAGGCTTTAGGTTTTTTTATTATTAAATATTTGCCAAGGCTCAACACCCACAAATTTGATTTTTGTTTGAATGGTTTGGTTATTTTTGTTTTTGTTAAGGTTACCGGATTATTGCGATTAACAAACTTGATTTTGTTGTAATTTTTGTAATGTTGCTCTAATTATAATTATTATTATAAAAATATTTGAAATTTATTGGTTTAGAAAATTGTGCGCAGTTATGATTGGTGCTATTTTTACGTGTGATTATTTACACTTCTTATTCATTGATCATTGCTATCGGCTTTTAAGATAAGATTCTCGTAAAGTAATTTTTTGATAATACCAGTAGTAGAAGTAAATGTAATTTACTTAATTACGTAATTATTTGAAAGAGACTAAAATGACAACAATTTTGATATTATGTATTTAAAACTTTAATATTGCTGTACCTGTGTATTCGGGCAACTAGCAATACGCGGCAGTTTTAAGTATAACATAACATCCTAAAATGCCACCAACAACATGCAATTTTTTTTTCAAGTTTTGCTATACATTTTGAAAAATAACAACAAAATTGTATTTTGAAAGTGGTTTTTGTAGTTCATTATTTCCTTTTTTTTTAACAAAATGAATAACTAACAAAATATTTGTTTTCTGACTATTACAGTTTTCTGTAACATTGCTGGTGGATCTGTGGTGTTATCTATTTGTCAAATTTTTAAACACAATTTTGTAATTACCAGTGAAAAAAAAATATGTAAAAGAAAAACCGCTACAGAAGCAATTGAATACTAATTTAGAAAAAATATTATGCATAACTTGACAATTTGAACGAAAAAATTCTCGGTATCTTAACGTTGACAAACTTACATATTACATTTTGAGTGAAAAAAAATGCAAATTGATTTTTTTTATAATGTAATTTGGCCTGTTAATAAATGGAAGTTTCTTGACGTTGTCTTCGGCACAATTCACTATTTCATAATTGTCAGGCATCTTCCAAACTTCTATCAAGTTTTCCTATGTTTTTCCATTTCGTTTGACTATGACTTTGCACTGGCAAGACCACCAATTAAGACAATTCTTTTGATAGTTTTCTAACCTTTTTGGGTACAACCTTTTTTACACTATGTAAATCTTTGAAAAATTTCCCAATTTAGTTTTTGACAATTTGCGTTTTTTTGCACTCAAGTGTACGGCCTAAAGGATGAAATAAAATGATACCTATTACTGGTCATGGGATTTAATGATGTGTTTCCCAACCTTTAAAAGATTAGTAATCGGCATATATCATTAGTGATTGTGAATAAAAGTGATTTTAACTTCTACGTTTTTTTCAGTCATTTGGTCGATTTCTAGGAAAATTTTATCATTTGAGACGGAATTAAGAACAAAATTGCAAAATTTGAGAAAATACAAAGAATTCGAATTAGTGTGTGTATCTAAATATTAGATATAGCTGAATCTGAGTTATTGATTGTAAATTATTCACACCACACAAATGGATTTGGATATTTTATATTTTAGAAAAATTCTAGAATCAAAATAATCAGTCAATTTTGATACATCAACTCTTTTTAATTTTAATTTTAAACGAAAGACAAGAAAATTTCCGTAAAAGTTCATGTTTGGACGCATCTCGAAGTCAACCAGATGCGAGCACTTTGACGGATTAAGGGGTTGTATAATCGTACGATTTAAAATCTCTTTGTTGTGTAAACAAGTGTAAAGTGTGCAAAAAATGGTGATGTGGAATTGGTAAATATTCGAATTGATTTGTGACGTGGCGAATGGACGGGATTATGCAGCACCGAACAGAGGCCTTTTACACCTGCGAGTAATATACTTTAATATTATTGAAGCAAGAGTTCTTGGATTAAAGTTACGGAATGTGGGATTGGGTTTTTGGTGAATATAGAAGTTCAGAATATACATCAATACCACAGAAGCCGTATTCTATGTCAAAACTGGGTAAATTTCTAATTTCATTTGTTGGAGAAGAAATAAATTTCTTTGGTCGGAATTTGGGTTAAGAAAAAAAATCGCAATGGGAGCATGGTATTTTATTTGGTTTTATTGATTGGTAGACAAAGACAAGATATATCACATTAATTAAATATATAGAATACAATATTTTGATTTCAATTGACATACAGTACATTAAGCTCGTTAAGAAGGGGTGAAAAAATAAATTTAGTCTGAAAGCTCAAGCTTCGTTATTTATCACACAGTCGGAAAGCGTTAATAAATAAATAAATAAGCAAAAAGATTTTGATTGCCGCGTGGTAAAGTGTGCAAGATATGTATAGGTTCTTTACAATTCATATAAACTCTTATGAACAACAGTGTATATATAAATTATCTTCTTAAATAATTATATGATTGTTTCATGTGCGTTGATAACGTACTACATTTTTTAAGTTACGGATTTACAGTTTAATTATTTTTTTAATTTTATGCGCGACAGTAATAAAATTATGAACAACAACGCGTACTACATACATAAGTAGGTACTCTAATACGTGTAACAGGCGTTAAGTGTATTACTGTCGTATTTAGGTTTTTTATTTAAAGTTGCGATAGTTAATATTTGTCAAAGTCACATCTTTTTTTTCTCTTTTAACATGATTTATAAAGATGTCCAAATGATTGTATAGACTTCACATATCAAAGAAAGCCAAAATGGGAGTGCACTTAAAATGAGATAGGTCTTAATGCAGGTTCATATTCTTTTAAGGGCAACATCAATTTCTTTCATCTAAAATGCCAGATTTGTATACAAACCGATTTTATGGGTTGTGTGCAGATTGTCTGAAGTATTATGGCCAAAAAGCCTACCTTGGATTAAAAAAATACAAGTTATGGTTTATTCTGGGATGATATGATCAGTTTGATTCAGCAGTAGTAGAAATGAAAAACCCTGGCATTTTTGACGTTGTTTGCACGTGTTATTGTAAGAAATCTACCTCTAACACAAGTTATCAGTCATAGAAAAGTAGTTCTCTCATTAGAAAAGTCTGTAGACTGAACAAGAAGTATTTTGCAGCTGACAAACCAACAATATTTCCGCTATAAATTTGGATAAGTAATAGTGAAACATATAAAAAATACTTGTATTACATTTAAATATGTACATGATGTTCAGTGCGCGATTTAGTTCGAAAATTGTTAGTTTGTCTCATAGACACATCACGTAGAAAAAATAGCGCTTGAATTTTGACAACCATTTCGTAGGAAGAGAGATGTACAAAACATTATATTACACTAGATTATTTGTTCATTTATTTGCGAATCTCTGTCTCTGTTTTCGTACGAATTCGGCAGCTAAACGATCAGCCACTCTAGATTCTAATATCTGTAGAATAGGGTGATCTGAAAAATTAACAAGTAGCTCAATTGTAATATTTCTTGAAAACACTCACTTTTTTGGTGTTGCTGCATAAGAATTAGCTCAACGGGTTTGAGACCGTGGAAGTTGTCCACTCCAGTGGTATCGGCGACTCCGGGTATACTTCCCAAGGCCAGGAAAGCCTCTCCAGCAAAGTCGTTAGCAGTGAGCACGTCGTGGTCCATGACCGTAAAGGCGATCATGGCTCCGAGAGAACGACATTGCTCCAAGGAAACACTAAATTCAAAGCATTCGTCGAATATTGGGTGAAGAGTTTTCTTGTGTACATTGGTTTGTTGTTCGTTGCAATGGGGGAAAACTCTATGCGGCAAGAGTTCGATTATTACAAAGGGGTCGCTGAAGCCGTTCGGGTCCAAGGGAATTATGTCTCTTGCGTGCAGGACCTTAAAAAAATCAATAGAATGTATGTAATTTTGTAATTTCTAAGCATACGAAGTTTTTATCACTTATTTATCGTATTCAAAACAAAATCAACTCAAAAATTATTACTTTCTTAAATTTATCACTCATTCGGATCACATACAGTGGCCTGAGCACAATAATTAATAATTATGTGTCATTGAGATTCCTGAAAAAGTGTTTTTTGAGTTGTTACTGTTCTGATATACATGTGCTATATTTCCTATCTAAAAGCACAAATTTGGTGTACCTATATCGCAAGAACTTTAAATCTAAAATGTATAGTACGTTTTTATTATATGGGTGTGGATCAGTTAATAATTTGAAAGACGTACTTCTGGCTATTTCTTTTCAACATTTGCCAACAGCCTCGTTGCTTTGTCACTACGTATTTTTGAAAGGTCAATCACGCTATTTATCTCACTTTAACAAATGCCATTAAAGTAACGCAGGGCTAGTGACGTACGACAAAAGTATGTACATCTTGCCGTCAAATAGGTCATTTGCAATTTCATTTTGAATTGAGGCTAATATATTTATACCCTCTATATAATCATAACAATCGTATTCAAGTCGTAAGTCAAGTAATTCAAGTCCTATAAAAACCTAATGTCAGGGAGAAACTAATTTTTGACTTTAGTCCAAAATGTCAGAAGCTGTCAAATGTCAAAAACAGACGGGGACAGGTCTTTTGATTCACATTTTCCCCACCAGCAAATAATAAAAAAATGGACTTTATGTTAGCACTAGTACCACTCAGTACAAGTTTTTATATTTTTAAGTTTGTATTGAAAAAAAAAAAACAACATCCCACTTGAAAAAATGCGCGAAATCAAACAAACAAATCAACCCTATGCAAGAATGGCAAAAGCGCAATTTTTAGGACAAATAGATCACAAAAATACATAATTTTTGTATGTAAAAATCTGTTATAAAGTAGGTATAATTAGACTAGATTAATAGTTGCATATAATATGTCAGAGGTGTTAGGTGAAAAAGACCACTCAAATAAGTGTTTTTTATAGTTTTTGCTTTAAAAAATCTTTTTTTTTCAAACAGGGCTCTACGCTCATATTTTTTTATACACCTAATTTCTTTCCATAATGTTCAACAAGTCCTGATTTTTATTGAGAGTTATAAATATGCACATCCCTACCTCGACGCAAAGTGAGTCGTGATTGAAGTACGCTCGAACTGCAAGACTGCCATAGGGGCTACTAGTCGTATTAAGTTGTTCTTGAAGCCTTTGGTTGTAGAAAATTTCTATGAGGGTTTCCGTATCCGTTCTGTGATACTGCAGTCTTTGTTCGATTTGACAAAATGTTTGTGAATGTAAACTTTCTATACTAAGAGCATTTCCTTCGCAATGAAAGAAGTCAACCATAAGTTCTAACGCAGCATGTAGTCTCTCATGGAACATTGGAGGCATCTCGTCACTGTTTGTCCCACCATCCATTTGATGGTTGAGTTCAGATAAAGTGTACTCCCAGACCTACAATAATCATCAGAGTGAAGGAGCACAAAAAGGAAGAAAAATGTACATCGTATAGGACTCGTTCGAAGTTCTGAGGCAACAAGTACAAGTTGAGTGCATGTAGATGTGTATGCAGATATTCAAATAAAGGTTCCACAGCTTGATTTGTTGGTAAAGTGTCTGGAGACCAAGCGACATGAAACATGGCTTTCCTAAGTGCTTCTTGCATTTGTGGCCCTACACGCTTTATTATGTCTATTATTCTTACTTGGAACTGACTTAATGTGCTATCTAATTGGTTAGTTAAAGTAGCGCATTGTATTTCCGAGGCGATCGTTTCGAGTGTTACAAAATCAAAGTAATTTTCTGTAACAGAACGGTTGAATTACATCGGCTTAAATGTTGATGTATTGCCAACCTAATAAAGACACGAATTTGTAAACATATTCCAAATTATTGGCAGCAATACACATTTCGTCGCAAATTTTAAAAGGTCCCATTCTGTCGAAATACCCCGTTTCCATTAACCCTTGATAAGTTATATCAGCGTATAATAAAGCTGCTGAACATATACAGTCGAGAAGTTGCGACAGAAGAGGAATGGAATGTGCCTTAGGCCATTGAAGGAGTCTCCAGAAGTCTCTTAATTGACAAAACATCGCTACTACATCAACTGCAGAGGAACTGTGCTTCACTAATTTGTCACCATCGCAAGGCTTTTGAAGTTCGACTGCAGTTCGTACCCTTTGTAAGGCTTTTGCTTTGCATACAATCAACCAACAACTAACAGACGGTTCGAACCATTCATGACAACGAACTAATAATAATTTATGATCGCCACCGGAAGGCAGATTTTGATGAAAAGTGGCCAAGTCTTTCACTTCTAAATAAACAGAGAAGATAAGTCGGCTGTAAGCGGCATCTGGATGCTCGTTTTGGTTCAGAAACGCGATTACTTCGTCTGACATTAACTTATCTAGCTGTTTAAATACCACGCTGAAGTAGGGGATTCCATTTGTGCTGAAATGAGAGAGAAATAGACATTAAGTAGTGATTTAACCGTCTAGTCTAGAGCAACTAGCATATCAATCTAAAAAAAAACTAAACAGACTAAATGCAATTTTCCTTACACACTGCGTAACTCAGTAGTCGTTCTATGATGCATAAAATGTGGTCATTAAAACATACAATTACATTACCTATTAAAAAAAAAACGTTTAAGAAACTTGAGAGGGTGATTCCTTGAGTCGAAATAGAAAAAAATCGCCATGAGCATCTGTATCCTAAGAAAGTTAAAGCGACAACATGATCTTATTTGAAAGAACTCATCATTGCAGGGTTGCTCTTCAAGAATAAAACATCGGTGCGCAGTTTAAAAAATCCACATTTTACAAAAATAACACGAGAAATACCTACCTATATTCTTAAAAAAAAATTAAATAAAATCCGAATTTGAAGAAAAAATTAAAAAAAAACTTTTGCTCGTAATTTTCAGACTCTAGCTTCATTATTGAACATATGGGGGCATACTTTATATTTTAATCTAAGAAACTAGTCTTTAAAAGTTTTAAAATTTATAAATTGTAATAAAAATTTTGTCACTCGTACAATAAATCACTATATATAACACTATATAACAGTTTTGTACGAATAATAGCAAAAATTTAGTATTGTCGTTAATACTCGTAATTGCTCATTTTGATTAATAATATTAAATATTTTATTTATTTTTTATTATACCTACATCATAATCCTAAATTAAAACACGCTGCAGCGTGCGTAATTTGGCCTTTATAGCACGCTGAATTTTAAAGTTGTCTAGGTAAGAAGAAATAGTGAAATGTCTTGACCAATTATAACGTGAAAAAATGTGCTTAACAACGTAAACTAGTAAGCGTCTCTACGAAAACGATTCACAAACAACCTTTGATAATTTCATTGTGTAAATTCTCATTTTTTTAATGCTCATAAAAAATCGTTAATTGGGCAGGTATAATAAAAAATAGCGTATAACACTCGTTTATAAGCGCCTTTAAAACACTTACGACGTTAAAAGCACTCAGCTGACGCGTCGTGCTCTTCAACCCGTCGTGCGTGTTTTAAAGGCTTGCGTACCTATAAACTAGTATTATAATATACTATTTTATTGAAAGAAATTAGATAACAGTTTGTCCAAATACGTTCCGTATTTTTGGACTACAACTTCATCTAAACATACTTATTGAAGATGCTGTTCGCCTTTTATCTCACACAAATTATAAAAAAAACAAAATATGTGGTTATGTAAGTAGATGTTGACGGTTTAGTTTAATTTATTTGTAATTAATTAAAACCTTTGTAGTATTTGTAAACAATTATTTGTGGGTTTTAAATAAGAAAAGTTGTATCGATTTGTCTTTTTCAATATTTTGAAGAAACTTTTTATAATTTAAGCAAACAAGTCATAGTTGATGAATCTTAATGAGTTACTTTGTGTAGATGTACATACCTATAGATTTTAAAGAAAAATATAAGTATTTTGCGCGGTGACGACAAACAATGTGTTGTGTGGCGAGGTTCTTTTCCTATCATTAAAGCGTGAGTGCATTGCTTTTATACCTCAAACAAAGTGATTTCCCTATAGTTTAAATTCAAAACATCAAAATGCAAATAAGCGAAAAGTTGTGTTTTTGAAAATATAACATATTTCAACATTAAGTAGGGCGAGTTAAATGATTAAACAAAGTAAATAAAAGTCGACATACCCCTCAAAGAGAGGATGGTAATGAGATAGTCCGTGTTGCAAATGTACATAAACTTCCGAGCAGAAGTCAACAAAACAGGCGTCGTATTCATCTGAGGTCATAATAGACGATTTTAGGCTTTGAAACCATTCAGGTGTCCCTTTACGAAGGGTAGCCACTATCTCACCGCGGATTTCCTTATTGAATGGGCAGCATTTCCAAAATGCTTTCTGAAACACTCTAATCAGATGGAACAGTGAGAGCGTTTCTGCCTACCATATTGGACATGTAAGCAAGACATCGGAGAACGTATTCGAGGCGAACTAGAGATGGGGGATGAAGAGCCGGGAACAACTGTCGGTGATGGCGCAACTGTTGCAGCCATCTCTCTGCCATATTAAAATTAATAAACCTGAAAAGTGAAAACTTGCGCACTTACCTTGCATAGCGGTAAACTTCTCTGCGAGCCACATTTCCTCCTCTCTCGTCAAAGTGAAATTCATCCAAGCGCTTTCAATGTCTGTCAGTAATTGAAGCATCCAACGGGGGTCCAGAGGATGCTTCAAATAGACTCTACAGGCCGCCACAAAGCGTGCTACGGCAGTTTGAAGCTCCGTCAAGTCTCCTAAAAGCATTCAGAAATATTTCCCTACATTCACTATAAATTCCCGAAGAAAACCTTGAACTGCATGCTGGTGTAGAATCGTCAACGCCGGCCCTGGAAGATCGCCGTTCCAAGTCCACGATTCCCTGTTCCAGTTTTTTAACTCATAGTCTACAAACGTGGCGTAAAGACTTTCGTGTTGGATCAGTTCGGTCCAGTTATCCTCTTCAGAGGCGCCGCGGTTTTCCCGCGTCGAGAGCCACATTTTCAGGCGGATCCTGCCCTGGACCGAACTGCGTTGCGATCGAGCTTCCAACTTAAACCAGCCTTCTAAACCTGTAGACGGAATGTCTTGGAGGGGAATCGTAACACAGCCGAGAAAATCGTCTTGAGAACTTTGTCTCGCGGATTGACAAACTTGCTTGAAAAATCTGCCCAAACCTCGAACTCCTCGAACCTCGTTTAGTTTGCTGACTGCTTCTAGCACTGAACTTTCGTCGTCGTGGTCCCATATGTCGAGGTGCAAGGAGTCGCTGTTGATCTCGTCTATGTCGCTGGAAGGTAGGCCATAGGTGATAAAAATAAATGCAATTTCCAAAATACAATTTCGAGCAAAAGCAAAAGATTCAAATTCAGTAATTGACATAACATTTGCTCTATAGATCTATTTATTAAAAAAAAATAACACTCGTATATTTAATCCATTTAATATCAGCTGAAAAGTAAAAGTATGTTATGATGTATACTTATTTTCTCTTATAGAACCTGAAATAAAAATATTTCAACTCATATAAAATAAAAAGTTTGGGGTAGGTACTTTGAGATAAAACCTGGCATTCGACTCTGAGTGTGGTTGCGTTTTCTCCTCATTTTTTGAAAATTAGTGAAGTTAGCATCTTTCAGAAAAAAACTATATTATTGTATACATATTTGCATATTTGTTGCTTTCACCTCAATTTCTGATAATTAGTGAAATTAACATTAACATAAATTATATTATTGTGTACATATTTGCATATTTGTTCTATTAAAATCAACGAAAACAAAAGGATGGACACCAAGAAAAAAATTAAACAAGATAAATTTATTTTTTTTAATTTTGACATTAAAATCCGGTAAGAAGACAAAGTAATACCTACTCTCAGTTTTATACATAATATAAAAAAATGAACGACACAACAATTTCTTAAATCTTCCAAAATTTAAAAATATAAACTAACTTAAATTTTTAGACTAAATTGTATGTCGAAAAATGTTTAGTAACTAGTACAAAAAATATAGAAAAACACAGTTCTATATAGCGTAAGTCATAATTATATGAATTTTTTTATCAGAGCTTCTTTAGACTGAAACACTGCAAGTAACCCTGTAGTTTTATAGTTATTAATAATACGAAAACTATTTATTTAAAAAAAAATTGAATTGAAAATATAATAAAAATACAATAAATTGAAATGTTTTTTTTAACAGTGCACTTTTGATATATTAGGGTTAATTGCTTTGTTTTAGCCTAGTGAAGCTCTGGTTAAAAAATTACATCTAATTATAGCTCATGCTGTATATTTAGATTTTTTAAATATCGAAATTATGTGTCTTATTTAGACATAAATATCTTACTTAAGTTTTTATCGTGAGGACAATTTTTCCCTCTCGAATGATAGTGTTGCTGATGAGCTTTATCTTTGTAACAATTTTGAAAGATTTATAGTTTTCGTAGCAAGTGAATCAAAATTAAAACATGCATGAGTATTCCTCAAGAACAAGGTTTTGATCTTGTTCTAAATTCGTAATAGTCACTTACAAAAAAATTTTCTTTTTATATTATTATAAAATATTTCAATTTTTATTTTAAACTAACATTTCTAAATAATTTTTACCCGAACAAATACCAAGAAACCCGTGCAAATATTTCATATAGAGAATTCTTGAATTGCACTGCAATGCTGTAGTTGTATACTTCCAACGCTATTATAAAAACTTCACTGCTGCAAGTATAAGAAATGAGACCAAATAGCTATTGTAAACTGCGGTATTTTTAATAACAAAACACGATGAATGAGACTAGGCATTAGGGTTCAGTGTGTTGCACAATCTGAGGGAAATCTAGCTAAATTTAGGTTACACCGTTGGAGGATAACATGCTTAACTGGAATATTAATTCCTTTAACCTCTGCTTTGAGAAAGGTGGGCGTAATGTTTCCTATGTCAACACTAGGACTATAGTTAAGTCTTTATGTTTAATGAATTAAATTTCTGATGAATCATTCAGCATCTTAGCACGAATAAGAGCTATTTTCCTACCACACATGTTTAAAACTAGATCAAAAATTTCTTTTCATTGCAGGTAAAATATTGAGATGTATTGAAAGCCATGCAGCCGGAAAATATATACTCGGGTTTGGATTTAAAAAGACTTAAATTTTTCTTTATGAATAAGCTAGACCTGAATAAATTTTGATGTTTGATGCTTGTCGGTAGACGGTAATTCTAAATAAAGCAAAAGGTTTATTAAAACGGGCCACCTTTGTAGACACTAAAGCCAGTTCTCTAATTTTGAACAAATCCCTTTATGCGTACGACACTTTCACGACGCTTCGCCTAATAGCAGCTTAGTAAATTTTAATTATAATCTAATGGAGTGTTGCAATTAAAGCTGCTTGTTGATAAAATAAACCTGATTGCAAGTAAATCGTTCTTCTATTTAAGAACTAAGGAAATTACGAAACACTAAAGCCCCAAATGGGTTATTTCGCTTCGGGAAATTAAGACATATGCATTAATTAAACTGTCTTTTATTAAGTTTCTCCATCGTTTTTTCTTTTAATTTAACAAGGCAAGATTAATGTATGTGTCCATCACGGTTTTATTATTTTAGGCGTCTAACGCAAATAACAGATGGGGTTTTGTAGTCACCGGAAACAGTAATATTTATGTAATGGATGCTATAACTGCAAACACTGTTTTGTTACACATTTACTAATAGACAAGACCTAGTTAGTTGATGAAATACGATCCCTTCGCAAGATGGTAACTTCGGATCGTACGTTATGATGGATATTCTTGAGACACAATGAGGGTTGGTTAAAAGCAAATTTAAGACTAAGTTACTTGGAATTTTACTCGAGATTAATTGCTGAATTTTCGAACAAGTATCCAGGTTGACAATCGATAAAAACTGATATTAATAATTAGATAAAACAAAAAACTCTAATATCTTTGTTGTTATATATTTATTTAACAAAGTTTCTTATATTTGAAGGTGTCTGCTAGATAATGAGTAATTTTTAATAAAATTTTCTAGTTATTACACAATTTTGTGATACTTTATTAAAACAAGATTTGTTAAGTCTTTTTTGCAACACTAATACCTTATACTGTTTCTATGGTGCATTTAAACTTACCTCTTATATTGGCGTTAAAATACGCTTTATCTATAAAGTACGTCGTCAATAGCAACATATCTTATGAAACTATAAAATACGCTTATGGCCATTTTTTGTCAGTTTTGACTTTATTATAATTTCTGAATTTAATAAAATTTCTGATTCATTATTAGTGTTGCAAAAAATCTTGAAGACAACACTCTAGTGTTAATAGCTAATAAAACAACTAGAGTTTTATAGACAGTTTAAAAATCCAGGTCGTAGTTTAATTACTAATATAGATTAATATTATAGATTCATAAGATACGTTGCTATTGACGATGTACTCTATAGATGAAACTTACATGCACCATAAAAACAGTATAAGGTATTAGTGTTGCAAAAATAGCTATATTTATAATATTTAGTTTAATATATTATTATTTATTATTATATGTTATTATTTTTTACTGCAAAGTGTGGAAGTATGTAACTATAGATAATAATTACCTCACCTTGCAATTTCCATTAAAAATTTTTGTAATAACTTCAAGATCACAACAGCTCAGCTTTTTTATTTTTTATGTACTTACATTTGAAGTCAAAATGGTGGATGCGCCGGGATATTTTTTATTAACATACTCTTTTATATTTTGTCGTTTTTTTTTTTTTTTAATAAATACAGTTTATTTTTCCTACCTTTACTTCTACAGTGAGATCAAAAAGTCTGTTTATCAAGCAAGCGTAAAAATTTAAAACGTGTTTCTGTGGAAGATAAAATGTCACAATGACAAATATGAAATGTCAAAATAATTTTTATGTAAATTATAACGGGAAACCGTGGTGAACGATTTTTATGAATAAACACCAACAAAATCTCATTTTAGGATAATTTGAGAAGTTTCATAGAATAATTTAATTTAATTAGCTCAATGTTTTAATTTTTATAAAATAATTTTTTGACATCTAGATAACATACGAACTGCCATGCAACATACGTCCTCAACTAGGACGCTTACTTGATAGAAAGATTTTTTGATCACACTGTATAAATAGTTGATGAAATTTTACGTTTGTATTATTATGAAAATGTTATAATGAACATGTTGTAATTTAATAAGAAACTACGCGCATAGTAACACAAACTTTTTTATTACAGTCATAAAAACCCAGTTTAACTCTAGAACACTTTTATCTTTGTTTTGTCATGTTGTCATAAAAATTAAACAAAATGTATCATATAACAAAGACTTAATTTCTAACTTCATATAGTAACATGTTGTACGTACATACAACTTAAGTCTCCATAAAGACGATTTATTATTCCCCTTGAATAATTTGAGAAAATTCTCTTCTACATTTACGCGATGATTGTAAATAAATCCGTTGCTTTTGTCTCAAGCTCTAAACCATCGAGATTTCGTCTTTTGCTGACGGCAACACGTGTTAAGACTCTTAGTTGTATATAATCACACATCTGCGATACGTGATATGATTAAAATGGATTTTCGCAAGTATTAAAAGATCGCTCTATTTGTGAAAAAATTAAATTGTTACAAAGTAACAAAAACGTATTTTTGCACCAGTTAAATTTCGATCATAAAAGTTATTTGTAAATTTTTAAGACTCGGGGTGTTTTAAAGATGTTTGTCACAAACTTTCTTAACATCCTTTTGTAAAGTTTTAGTAGCTACAATCTTTTCGGTAATGAGTTTTATGTGGTTGTGTGTTTGATGAAAATTAAGGCTTTCAAGTTAATTATCTTCAGTTATGTTTTTATTTTGTGTTTACTGTTTTTGAAATATTTAAGTACAATTCTGAGTAAGTAGATTAACAATTTATTTGTATTTTAAAAATAGATTTAGAAAAGGTTTATTTCTATGTGTAAAATATTTACAAACAATTTAAAAGATCAAGATGGAAAAGTTGTAATGCATTAACATAAATCGTTTGTGTTCGCTTCGTATTATTTCTTAACCTCCGACGTTCTCAAAGCAAGCATCTCTTCTATTTCACTTTTAATTTCCACGATTAAATGAGCAGCTGCTGGCTCGTTGTCACTGAAGGTTCGTCCAAATTAAATTTTGACTCTAACATTGACGTTAAATCGTAAAGAGCACGAATGACCTTAAACATACTAATATTGTTACTTGAGACTGCGTTGCATTAACATCATTTTAACTACCTTAACATATTGATGATCTAACTGCAATACCCTGTGTCTGAACTTTTTTGCAGAAGGAAGGAAGAATATTTTTGTAACAAGTCCCTAAAGTACAGTTTTCGCTGCTGTTATCTGATGATTCCGCAAAAACATTTTAGAAACGTGTTACAAACAACATTTTTTTGTTAAAGCTCCCAAAACACGATTTCACACCTCTTATTAATTAAAAACATTTCGTCACCATAGAACCAATTTTATTTTTTAGTCTGGAAAAACTGTTTTTGGGAAATAATATTGGTTAAAACTGCATCCCCCTATCGTCTTTTGTTTTCGACTTATAGACAAAAAATGACAATTTAGCCAAATCTAAAAAAATCATATATTCGTTATTATAGAAGACACAGATTCGAAATAAAAACATTATACAAGCACTTTTTACATTTAATTTAATAAGAATTTAATAATGTAGTTAACAATTTTTTTCAGTTGTTTGTTTAGTCGTAATAAAATAAACTTGTATTTTTTTCAATGGGAATCATAGATGGCTATATCATTTTTAAAAAGCTTGTTTTTTTTCTTATCTAAAAAATATATATTTGTAACAAATTATTATAATACATTTTTAGCAAAAAATCATCTTTGATTTCTGTTCGCAGTTGGCCATGAAAAAATGTTGGATTTAAACTATATTTTCTAAGTACTAAGTAATGAAAAAAATGCAAAATAAATCGTGAATCAACTTATTGGCGAGTAATAACATTTCTTTATTTTTAAACAAGCTAACATTATCATTGTAGCTTCTAGTAATATATAGAGTGTTGTAAAAAAGCCGCTTTAATTCTCCAATAAAATATATTTTATATGACACGAAAATGACGATATGGCTATTCAAATACCCAAATTCCGTCTATGTGGAACGTTATCCTACCTAAATTAGATCCACAAAAAATGTTTTTTTCTAATTGTCTTGACTGTTGACACATTTGTTTTTCCTATTTTTGGATTTTTTTAAAATATGTAATAATTTTGTTCTGAGGCGCTCGAATATTTGTTCAATACTTCTAACGTATCGTATTTTTTAAATTTTTATAATTTCATCTATTTTTTCATCTATTTTACAGTTCACAAAACTCTTATTGATTATTATTTACACATTTGGAGTGAAATAGTTTTTCCATGGCCAACTATTGTCAACCAAATATATATTTCATTTTTTAAATATAATTATAAAAAAAATATTCTGTTACAAATACATATTTTTAGATCAGAAAAAAATAAGCTTTTCAAAATTGTCATAGCCGCATATAATTTCCATTTAAAAAAATAAAAGTTTATCTTATCACGGCTAAACCTATAACTGAAAAAAATTGTTAACTACATTATTAAATTCCTCGTAAAAAAGTGCCTCTATAGGGTCTTTATTTTAAATCCATATCTTCTATAACAACGAAGATATGATTTTTTTTAGATTTCGCCAAAATGTCAACTTTTGTCTGTAAGTCAAAAACAAAAGACGATAGCGGGATGCGGTTTTAACCTATATTATTATCTCAAAAAATGAGCCCCAGAATGTATCACTCGTTTTTGGCTAAACATCTTAGTTTCGGCAATTTCCTATTCGGACATCCAAAATCGAGCACTCTGTACATAACTCTTATTTTTTACATAATAGAATATAATCAATAAACATATAATTCGAAACGTAGGCTTGCCCCAAAGTCAAAATCTTGAAATTTTCAGATACGAAAAGTTAAACTATCGATATATTGTTTTGCTTTATAAACACTATTTTGTTTATTTTTTCCATTACAACAAAATGAGTTGGTCGCGTTTTAGAAAGTAATAAACTAAAAAATTGTAAGCTTCTAGTTGTATTTATTAGATCAATATAACTGCATTAGTAAGCTTTTTAGCAGCCTTTTGTTAGTATGAAAACGTATAAAATTTAATTTATTGGTTTTTTGTACCACGAGTGAAGAAATCTAAAAAAAGCGCTTACATTCACATTTTTTTTCATTAATGATAGTTTTGTTTATTCTTCTTTTTGAACTTAGAATTTTTTAGTGTCGAGTGTCAGATTATGTGATCGTAATTAAATATTTTTAGTTTAAAAAAAAATTGTAATATAAATGTTTAATTAGTGTTATAAATTCACTAAAAGTAAAAGTTTGACATGGGACCAAACCGATTATGTGATAAATATAAAATAGTGTAACACGCATTAACCAGAAACCGGCAGACAGCCGCAGTAGTAAATGTTTTATGCGACATGACAATAAAGTGGATTGAATTCTAATAATGTTGACTTGCATTCTCAAACGAACATTCCCATCCAATATTTTGAATTAAATTTGGTTAAATCTGTCAAAAGCAATAAGAAGAAGAAATCAATTGTTAAAAAAAGATATGACTTATTTTTTCTCAAACTTTTCCGCAAGTTCGCTTTTTCGTAAACTTTAAATTTATCATTCGATTAAAGTTTTTAAGAAGTGTCAGTCCTTTGGGTACTCACAATCTAAACTTCTCGTTCCATTTCGGATTAAGCGTGTGGGGTTTGACAGAAGTAGCCCGAATGAATTTAGCGGGCAGTGCACCGACGATGCTGTCCCGTTGTTCCCTAACTCGTCCGTCTTTTCTTTTAAAGCTGAGTTTGAAGCTGTGATGCTTCCGGAGCTTGTCATGATTGCCCTGCATGTCGGGGGCGCAAGCATCCGACAGGGTACGATTAGGGGTGAGCGGCTGAGGTTGAGGAGAGGACGGTGCTGCCATCGGTTGAATTCCGAGCATACAGTATGGGTCACTGAAACCTGAAATTACATACGACGTTGCAACCTGTTTTTAATGTAATACCTACTCCGTGTGAAGCAACTAAAACCATGAATGCGACGGAACTTAAAAGGGTTTTAAATAATTCACGTGTTGCGGAGCCTTTTTCGGTGCAAAGCGATCAAAGCGAAATACGGTAAATATGAATATTTACACAAGCAGGTGATAACTTGCGAACGCGATAAATACTTGATTTCAGTGAGTGTCAGCCTCCGGAATCAATCACTTTCCGGTGCGGAAAAAACAGTTTTTGTAACTTTTTGTAGGAGATATAAATGCAATAAATATTTCTTACAAAAAGAATTTCCTTTAATTTAAATATTTTACGATTCCACAGGGTGGTTTAATCGTCACTCTGGTAGTTTTAAAATCAATTAGTTACTTTCAATTTTCAAACAGCTCTTCAAACTCGCAACATTAAAATTAATTTGTGATTTATTAAAGTAGGTGAATTTTTTTAAAGAAGGTGTATAAGGTTAATTACTTTGTTATTTTGACACTTAATTATGACTTATCCTGTAGTAAATATTTTCTTTGTTATACATCAATTGTACCACAGTAAAATAATAAATCTAATCATTATTTCAATAGCGCGAATTCACATTTGGCTTACACTCAGTGAAATTTGTGTTATCTAAACAGAATTCATTGATTTGTCTGCTAAAAAATGCAATTTATCATCAATGAAGTCTCTTTCATAAATTATAAGCTGACATTCGCTTTCACCCTACTGTAGAGTTTTTATGCATAGACTTGCCACTATAAAATTTGTAAAGTAATCAAGTACAACAAAATGCATTTTTTTAACAATTTAGAATTCGCAAAAAATGGTCGATCATCATTAATAACAATTTTAATTGTTTAAAAATTGAAGTGAGTATTCATAATTAATGGGTAGGTATACTATTATTTTTTATTTCTGGTGAATGTTTAAATTTTGATCACGTGCATTTTTAGCAAATTTACAACAATTAAAACTACATGTAATATTACAGCAAGTTTTAAATTCCACATTACACAGATGCCAAGGTTTTTAACTTTTTAGAACAAAATCAAAAGCAGCAATATCTGGAAGTTCATGATGTCTATTTAAAATATGATTTATTAACAAAACAGCGTCCCACACAGTATTTCAATATTGCTCGAGTTTTTTATACCTTATAATTCTACAAATTCATAGAGGAGCGTATAATTAATGAAAGAAGTTTTATACATCGAAACTCGCTTTAATAATTTAATTAATAGGCAAAGAACGATAAGCGAGCTAGCTCATACATAATCTACCGTCATTTTGCGTTCTTTCACCCGCTTTGAACGTTAAATTTTGTTTTAATCTTTATTACAGCTCGCCGTTGGGTGCACTAACTGCTACCAATCCTGCATTTCAGAGCGAGTACTGCTTTAAATCATATAAAACTAAAGTAAACATAACACAAAGTGGTTTTAATTTCCAAAGTGTTACAAAAAGTTAATTAAATCATAAACATATCACATGTCTTACTTCAAAAATCTTTGGCATTTATTCTTTTACTTAATAAATGATAATAAATCTGTCGGCTACAAATTTGCTATTAATTTCACTTGTGGTAATTTGGTTTTCAAAGACATTAGGCGAAAATTGAGGTCACGGCATTTACTTAAGGCGAGACAATAGGGACTATTAATGATTCATTGAATAATGCAACATCAATTTAAAACTATTAAAATCTCATGTACATACTTGTAGTTATTACAATTAAGACTCCTAAGGTAATTAAACATATAATTTTTTTCTATTCGCTCTAAGAATTTCTAAACAAAGTATTCTAACTAAGCTGCAGTAAGAGTCTAGTTAAATTATTTTCAAACTGGAGCGAAATTATAAGAAAATTAGTTTTTTAAGCAATTCTTCCAATTTTAGATTAAGCTCGACCTGAGAGTTTTAAAGCCTGGGAACGGCTTGAACGCAAATAATAGAACATTCAGGGATTAAAGTAGCGTCCCAACAAACTTAAGGATAGATAAATAATTAAAGATCACTGCAACTTTGTTACTTTCGAAACATGTTTTCTAAGAAATAATTTAAATTGACTTACAACTATTTTTCTTCATGAAGATAATAAATAATATTCAAATTGATCCTGCAAAAAGTTTGGCATAATTCAACAAGGATTAAATAATTAAAGCAGGGCGTGTTTTGTCATTCAGAACCGAATATCGGAAAAAACGATGAGAGAACAAGAAATAAGCAAACAATAAATGTTTCTCCGGAGGCACAGTTGTTTTACGAATCGACACCATTCGCATAAAGCGTAAATAATAAAATTTGTCTAAAAAGAAAAAGCCGACTTGTAGTCATAAATTCCACGAATAAAAATCCAATTTGAATGCTGTTTATACAAGAGTCCCTCTATATAAAAGCTTCTACCACTTTAATATCATTCCTACATGTATTTTGCAAATTCTGGTCTACTGTATTTTCTATGATTAACTAAATTGTTTTAATTTAATTCTTTTGTGACACCATTTCCTCTATCAAACTCAAGCAGAAAATTGCTCCTTTCAAACATTTTAAAGAAACTTCTACGTAAAATCAAAAAGAAACGAGAGAATTGGTATCACAGGTCAATGTTGAATACTAAAATGCAACTAACTAATGAAACTAAGGTTAAATCTTGTATTAAAATAAAAGAAATTTAGTAGTGTAGAAATAGAGTTTTCTTTTGAATAAGTGAATTGTATAATTTTAAATGTTTAATAAAACGTTTACTACCAGTTATAAAATTAATATCGTAATAAATCTGAACTGAATCAACGCAATTTAATCTTGTTATCTTTGATTTATGGTCGGAATTGAGCTGTTGAGTAAATATCGTGATGTGGCCCTTGAAATGTTCTTGGGTCATGATCTGTGACTAAAGATATTTGACGCCAAAGGATTTTACTAATCTTGATGTTAATCAGTAAACACACTTTAGCAAAGCAAACTGTAGCAAGTAACTTTCGAATAGTTTATTTTGAAAGTAAATCATTTGAAGAGATTTTATTTTAACAGCGTATAAACTACAGCTTAGCAAAATTTTATAATATCGTCAAAGTAATAAAGTTTTGAACCTTCAACCCTTATCATGTATATCACCGGCGCTTAGAGCGATTGTAATGAAACTTGTGATTCATATCTCACCATTGGCATCTTTAGCTTCGAGTCCTTCAGCTTCTATGACTACAACGCTGAGAACGACAATCGGTGGTTTTTCTTCTCCTGCGAGGTGCAACATGCGGTAGTGCCGGTCTGGCGGCATCCCGAATGCCCTTTGCCCATACAAATAGAGGTCTTCTTTGTAATGTGCATATTGGCCTCCTGGGGCGGGAGCACCGACCTGAAATTAAAATAAAAGACCGCCTGGAGTTATAAAAGAGCAATAATTCCTCACATTACGAACAAAGTTTCTTGACCCAGTGCGAAACGCGACTGTATCAGTATAAAGGCTACGCACATTAGCTTCATTACATGATCAGAACCCTCGTTTTAGCCACAAGCCGTCAAGATTTCCATTTTAAACCGCGATTGTAATTAGGCGAATTCGAGCCGGAGGAATTCTAATTTCGAGTTGTACTGGAAATGAAATGTCAATATTCAGGCAATCTCAGCCATGACACGTTGTTATTGCTTTTGATGGCGTGAGAAAGTCATTTTTACCGCTAATCAGTTGACTTTTGAAACAAACTTGAAGTAGAAGATAAAAACTTTTGATATAGAAACTTTCTTCATTTGTTCTAATAGTGAGTTAAAAAGAAGTCTATTTTGAAGCAACTGTACCCACGAGGAAAGGCGATATTTCTTACATCGGAAATGATTTTGCAAGCGATAAAAACGTAACTTTAAACTTATTGATCTTAACTTTATGAAAAAGTAATGTAACATAAGGAAAGACATGGTTATAAAGTTATCTAACAAAATCGTTTTCTCTTGAATGTCGGAAGAAATTAGAGTGTTTGATGTGCGAGCATCATGTTACACGAACGTTATCTACTCCAAATTAGATTTGTAATTAAGACTAATGTAATAAAAGTAATCACAAGCATTTGCACCTTATGAGTTATAACTCTTTTAATTAAATTTAGACGCGCAGCTTACAAGCAATATTTTTATAAATCTCAAACGATCACAGAATTTTAAGTTAAATATTATTACATTACACACAAATAAACAAATTATTAAAGTAACGTAATACATATAGTGTATGATCTTATATGTAGGTAGTTTTTTGTTGATATTATTTCGCTTTTTTTGTGATTTTCTTTCGTGAACTTTATTATTATTTTGGTGTTGTCATTTCGACAATTAAAAGATCTATCAAAATAGATCAAAAAATAAGTTTCTCAAAAACCAAAAAATTGTGAAAATTATGTATTTTTAAAAAAGAAAATTGACCTGTTCTAGCTTTTATGCCAAAACAAAATATTTTCAGTTTTAATAAGAGTATTCCATAATTTTGCCGCTCTCTACATACCTACTAATATAATATTTCAGGAAATTAAAGTCTAGCTGAAACAATTAAAAAAAATAAGAACGTCTCAAATATATTTAGCAAGTGTAAAAAATAGTATAAATCAAAACGGACACAAAATGATATCAAAAGGAATATTAATTTTAAATAACAATACAACTAAATATGTTTATTTGAAAATACTTAAATATTTTATGCAACAGGACAACAGGAGTGTAAGTCCTTAAAATTTTTCGCGAAAAAATCCACTTACATGGAAAAACCAAATGATTCTTTCTTGAGTGCGAAAAACAAGCAGTAAAGTAGCTCGTAGAGGAGTGTGTGAAGGGTGGCAAAAAGAACAATTTATCTAGAGTCAGTTTTCAACCTTATGGGTGAAAATATTTATAAATATTTACCACAATTTGATATATTCCAAACAATATTTATTTTGGTGCTCTCTCAATCTAAAATTAAGGATTCACATTTAATTAAAATCGATTTTTTTTAATTCGGAATTCAAGCAAAAACGCTTAGGGAATTGTTTCTCCCAAAAGCCTCATTCCAAATGCAATCAATACGAAAGTCATAATTTTATCCCGAGTTGGAACTGAAGAAACTAATTTAAGCCGTGCAGAAAAATGGAGTTTTTAAATAATAAAATGCGCTCTCAAAGGGCGCATTCAAACCAACGTGAAGAATGACGTGTTAAACATTATGAAGGAACTAACTTCATTTTTATTTCTCTTGTATTCAAGTTTTGCCTTATTGTTTTAAGTTTTGTGACAGGCTCAACTGTTGTTAATTAATTTTAATTATCTTGTTTGAGCGCCTGAAATAGCTTATATAGACTTACTTCACTTTTAATGAAGATCTGTCACTAACTAAGTGATTTATTCAAGATCAACCTGGGCTTTGGCCTTAATTAATTTATTATAAAAAACCTATTAAGGTGTGCAGTTTCTCGGTGGTAGAGACTACTCGATTACGCCGTATTTTATAATTAGAGATACTTCGTGCGATCTTTTCGTCGCGCAAAAGTTGGAAGAGTAAAATTTATGCTATGAAAACTTGTTATTAGGTCTCTTTAACCACCGTAACCATTCCAGACACGTAAACATAAAAATTGATAACACATCCAGCCTCGATTTTTTACATCGCATTTGCTTTCCTGGTTAAATAAATCTTTATTCTAGTCGTGATTTAAAGGACACCTGTAGAGTAGTGAAATTTGTTACAACTATCTTCATTGGACACATTTTGTTATCATACCTAGGAATTGATTTTCAATTTACGTCCTCCATTTTAATGGCTATATAGCACTGTATTCTTCTACAATTTTAATTGCTTTCTGATTCACCAATTAATTCATAAAATTGAAACTTGAAATTGAAAAAGCTCTTATCGTTGTATTATTTCAAGTTTTTTATATGTTAATAAACGTAGAATTCTGTTTTTCACCAAATCGTAAAATCATGTTAAAATTTAGATGTCCATGTGTTCACATTTGGAATAAGCTATTGTGTTCGATAAAACTAGAAATTGCAACTAACGATTTTCGAGCTTTATAATAAATTCTGAAATAATATACAAATAAACTATGCAATGTTTTTCGAATTTTGCTATTTTTATGAATGCTGATAACATCAAATTCTCGTTGTTTAGAGAGTAATCTCAGACCCGAAATTTGCGAAGGATATCGAAATCAAATTATGACAAATTCTCCTTTGGCAACAATGATTTGATAGTTCGCTTCTTAGTAACGCTATCCCGGTAAAAAAAAAGGAGATAATTGGAGAATCGACAAAAATATCGATAAATAGCCCTCTTCAATCATTACAAGCTCCATCAATCAGATTTTGGTTTTTGATATGCTTGCAGCCGGAAAAAAATAAACACTAATTTTCCATGTTAATTTCCTATAGCCTGCCTGGGACACCCGGTACATAAAAAAACCTCTTAAGGTTATTTAAAAATTTATTTTATTTAAAAATTCTGAAAAAAATATCATATTTTTTTGATGGCCTTAGCAGCAGAATTTGAAATTTTTTGTCCGTGCCGTTTAAAAAAGAATTTAAAAAAACCTCTATTTTTTTTCATTTTATTTATTTATAAAAAAAACTGTACGGAACAATTTTTTGCTTTATTTTTGGTGTATTGTAGATGCTACTGTATTTTTTCATGCAATTTAAATAATGCGTTTTTTTATAAAAAAAAACTATTGAATTTTACAATCCGTTACTCAAAATGAGATAAAAAGTCTGTGTTACTGTGTGTATGAGGTACTTTTTTAATTCAGAAACATTCAGGAATATTGTAAAAATTTCAAATAAAAGGAATAATAATTTTTAATAAATTATGTACTATATTTTTTGTTTGTTCCAATTTATTATATTATAACTATCATTGTATCGTCACCATCTATTTATTTTTCTGTTTTTAGCCATTGAAATTAAAAGAAACAAAGCAAAGTTATTTGAAAATTGACAAAATGCTAATACCAAGAATTTGTTTTTTCAATTTAGTTTCGCACCTTCTGATCGATATGCTATTGTTTAATTAAATTTCTAATATTAGTGAAATGTATGTATGCCAAATCATCAAAATCAATCAAAATAATTGAACAAGAACTATAGTGATAAATAAGCCCCACGAATAAGATAAAGTATAACTCATTCGTGAGTTACTTTTTAGCTCACTGACATTTAAAAAATACAGGTTTAGCTCTATCAACATGTTGTACCTGTGCTTTTTAGTAAAGAAGATTTCATCCACCTTGGGAAAGATGTTAAATAATAATAACTTCTTTGCTTAATTTTTGATAATGAATAAGTATTTGTGAATTTTTTCGTTGTTACGTTATAGAAAAAGGAACAACGTCGAATACATTTCTGAGAATTTACGTAATAAGATGGAGTGACGTATTTCATTCTCATTAAACATTTATTGACTTTTTTAGTTTAATATTCCGAAGTTTTGCTATTTATACAATTTATGAATTTTTTTTCATTCTCCAAAAATCCAAATAAAAAATTAATCCTGAAAGTGCAAAAATTAGGAACTACGAAAAATAATTTTATTTTCAGTTAGCACTACTGCTTATATTTATGTATATCATTCATGTATTCATAAACTTTTTCCATTTCCAGATGTGTTCAAAATCATAAATAATAATAATAAAAGATAGAGAGTTAAATTTCTTTTTTTGAATTATCTTTATAATTTATGCTGCGTATCTGCGTATCTATCACATTAACATACATTCAAAATTGAAGTATCATGCATTCGATTAAAAGAGAAGTTTCTATTTTATAAAAATCGGAAGACCAGTTAGATTTAGAATTCAGGAATCAATCAAAATCAGTCTATAGCTTTTGAAATAAAGATCAATCCATATATTTTATTGCTTTTGTCTTCAAATAAAGTGACAAAATTAATTTAAAGTTTAAATGACTTCTGACAGAAGAGTTTACAAACTAAACAGTATTTAACTTCCCAAAGTGGCAGCAACGACTGGTTACTTGTATTATCAATTCCATCCTGGTGGGTCTATACTTTACATCTAAGAAAACAATTTTTGTGTGAATTTTCCGAGATAACAACTTTGCGTTATAGAGCATATAAAATTAAATCTTGTTAAGAGCAACTTACCGTGTTGGCAATGGTGTATAGCATTTCCACGTAAAGTTTGTCTTTTTCATTTTGGGCCGCCGTGTAGTCAATGGCCACAATACCCAAATCGGCTTCTTGAGGTGGAGGATCCGCAGCGGCGGCTTCAGCCGCTTTCATCACACTTTGTCGTTGATTTTCTTGTTTCCATGCTAGCGCCGTGAAGCTCTCAAAATAAGACCCGTCAATTTCTTGAACTCTGCAAAACGTGACGCTCATATTAATCGTCCGCAAATTATCCCTCCCGGCTTTAAAATATGTTACTATTTTTTACTTTATTCCTCGCACAGCGATGGAATATTAAATGTGGCCACTTTAATGGGATTATTATCGCGAAATATTTCCAAGCTTGAATAATTAGTTTTAGGAAAAGTGCCAACCAAGCTTCCTTAAATGAACACGTCCTCGATAAGTTCATTGACGACATTCACGACTGATGTAAATTTCGAAACTTTACTAAAAGAGTCAACCTCGGTTCAAAATATTCTTTATCAGTGAAGGAAAAGTAAAATGCATTACCACAAAATGAAAGTCCTGGGTCCATGTTTTATTCAATAACATTTAGATGCTTTGATGGAGGTTTTCCAAATTTCATATAACGCATCAATTATAGCTACTTACTTAGCATAAACTGGTGAGAGGGTTGATTTCAAGGACATTCACAAACTTTCAAATTGATTTACAGCTAATCAGTTTAGAAGAGGAATCTCGGCCGTCTTGTAAAAATTTATAGCATTTTCTAAGCTGAGAAAATACATCTAATAATTGAGGCATTTGGTTTTAGGGTGGCCTAACCAACAAAATTTATAAACCTTATGACCTAAAGTTTTTAAATAAAAACAGAATTTTTTTTAAATCACACTTATTAATACAAATCATACATATACCGAGAGATCAAAATAATTTGTAATCATTTTTGGATCCGAAAACGTACAGTTCGGAATTAAAATTTCGGGCAGTACTGTCATTTTCATAATGTAAACTCTAAAACAACCTTTATATTAATAACCTCATTTTTTACTCATGTCATATTTATGTCATTTTGACTTATTTACTTTCAAAAATAGTGATTTGTGGCATAATAACGGGTAGGCAGCAGATCTTAATAAATTTCCTAAGACAGATAAATTGTTTAATTAACAAATTTAGCAACAAATAAAAATAAATATTATTGTCAAATGTCAGTTATGATGACAGTAAAAGGTAGTTTTTGAACTAACTGCACGTGAAACGTCAAATAAAATGACAAGTCGAAAACGGCAAAATGGGCTGGAATAGTCGCCGACGTATAATAATAAGACCGTTCTTTTTTGAAGGTAAATCATAAATTTAGTTATCTTTTTGTTCATGGAATTTTACCTTTTCACTTGTCATTTTATTTGACGTTTCACAGACATACGCACAGGACATACGTTTTCGGATACAAGGACAAATTATCTTGATCTCCGGATACTTCCTTAGTTTTTACTAATTTAAAAAGAAATCATCAATTGTAATTTTCTTTGAGCCACATCTTAGGTATCTAATTAAATTAAGTTTATATCTCTTTGAATAATGAACTTTACCAACTCGCTAGAACACCTTATACACAATTTTCAACTTGTTTTAAAATTCTACACTCTGGGTAATGATGGCAGCGACATTTTTTTTAAATGGAAACTCCCATTTTTTTAGCGAATTCGATAGATAATTGTCGAAATGGCAACACCAAAATATTATGTATTACATAGTTTAAAAAAAATATCCAAAAAGGGAAATAATATCAATAAAAAACAAAGATACAAATTTAAATCAAGTTAAAAATTTCGTATTTTTTAAAAAGAAAATTGACCTGTTCGAGCATTTTTCCAAAACAAAATATTTTCAGTTTTAATAAATAAGATTATTCTATAATTTTGCCGCCCACTGTATACCCTCATCATTTAAAAAAAAATTTAGATAACCCCCCCCCAAAAATTAATTCCTGGATTGTTCAAATTTTCAGTGAAACACTGGCCTAACGTTTTAAACAAAAAATATTAGTGACAAAGTGTAAACAAAATAAAAATTTTATAAGTAAAAATTTTAACTTTTATTAGAATTTAGCCTAATGTGAACTAGGCCACTCTAATTCTCAACTCAATTATGTAAAATTAACACCTCAACTACTAATTTCATAATCATAAGTAAACGATTCTTCTAATTAAATACATAATGCAATTATCCGTAAAAGTAAATAAACTTTTTTTTATTTGAATGAAAATACAAGCAGGTGTTGTTGTTTTTTTAGTTTTTTTTTGTAACATGTGTGTTTAAATGAGTTACCCTTGCAAGTCGTAATTTGAAAGGTCAGTTTGTTTAACACATTCAAAATTATAGGTGCTGGGGGAATTGCCATGTGTTGCAATTCACACTGAACTATCGACGTTTTAACGGTTTACACTAAAATGTTTAATGCACAGTGAAGCATTTAACAAAATTAATTTTGAATATAAAATTACCTTTGGTCAACGATATGTGTAGGTCGGTACTTAATTATAACATTATAAATTTAATTTCAAAACAATAGAACTCCATTTAACTTAATAGAGATTGCAAATAAAACAAATGGTTCTTTGACAACCTTTCATTTATAATGCGAATGAAATTTTTTAGAATTACATTGTTTTGTATTAAATAATGAATACATTTGTATTCAGACTTGCAATATGAGTTTTGATTAAATTTTTATTAAAATAAAATGACTTTCGTAATTGACTTTGCAATTTTATTGAATGAATGAATTCATTTGCAGAAAAATGTCCACTTTAAAATATAATTTCTTGCTCCGTTTATTTTACATACAATAGACGTTTTCCGTCGCTCCAAGCACTGTTTCAACTTAATTGTGTACATTATGAAACTTTTGCACTCTTACCTACCAGGATTGTATTACATGAACTTATTGCCATTTTTCTAGATAATTTAATAGAAAGTATGAATAAACAAAGGCAGCCCTCTTTTTTGAGCCTAACATAGTAAAAAAGTACTTTCTGTTGCTGCTTGTAACCGCTAAAACAAGCTTAAAAAATGCAGACTTTAAAGACATATTATTTATTTCAGTTGCCAAGTAGAAGTTATTTTAAACACTTTTGCAATTTTATCAAAAAAATCAAAACATTCTTAACGGCTTATTAATTACGTTTGAACTTATAATTTAAAAATATTTAAATGATTCAAAATGATTGAAAACAAGTATTTCTTTGAAACGCCGCAATATTTTTTGTGCCCTAACTTTTGTTGGACTAATACAATTTTAATCATAAACAAAATTTGCATCAAATAGTTACAGATTCTTGCTTAGGCTTAAAGTTAAAGCAGCAAGCTTCCTATTATAAATAGTAATATTATTAATGTTACCGTATGAAACAAGTTATTACTTTATGAAATAATTGAATAAATTTACGTTAAAGATGCAAAGAAAATATTACTCGTAAGTTAACGTAGCTTCTGGGTGAGTTTTGTGCTACAATACGATATTACATTTTCATCTTTGAATATCTCTAAACTAAAGAATTGTGAAACCTTTAATAACAGTCCACATAATCTGAATAAAAGTCTCCTTTGTGTTTCTTTAGTACGCTTATGTATGAGTATGAGTGCTAGTTTTAAAATACAAGTATTCTCTAATTCCTGTTACTATGTTATTTTACTGTTGCTGTAAAAATGTCAGCTTGTTATAAATTTCGTATTTTGAAATTGTTTTTGTACTCTACTAGCAACTTTCTACTGTAATTTTTTTTAAACTCACAACAGTAATTTTTAGAAAATAACAGCAACAAGTTAAATGGCTGAGAATAAAAAAGCAACAATTTCTTTTCAATTTTAAGCTTCTCTAACTCTTTATTTAAAACTCCCAAATTCTTTAAAATGATTTAACGATTTTTAACTGCAAATTTATATTGATTAGGAAATAAAAAAGTTCTTTGAATTTTAATGCAAGAAAAGAAAGAAGAGTGTGAAATATATTTTTTTCACTTAGCGACTCAGTTAAAGTTAGAGACTCTTGCTAGCATACGCAGTTTTAGCAGTAATTATTGTTGTAAATAATTAATAAATTAGTAATTAAACGTAATTTTTTTGTCAAATGACACTTAGAGCTAGTTTGTTATTTTGTCTCTCTTCAGAATAATTTACCATTTATGCATCCTTGTTTTCTTTTGTTGAAGAGAAAATAATTTCAGTTTGCAAATCATTCTGTTGAACAAAAATGTTGAAAATGATAAAAATTATGGAATGTGTAGCAAAAGAAAAAAGTTTTAGGTATATAATTTAAATTAACGATGAGTAACTTCGCAGTATTCTATTTATTCGATAAACAATCAAATTAACAAAAAATAATGAAATTATGACCATAACTCTTTTGAGAACACAGTTTTTTATTTCATTTCTATCAAAGTTACTAATTTACAAAAGCGATATTTGAAACGTCCAATAAACCAAACAAGTGCATCTTTTATGAAGACATAAATAAAACTGAGCTCTTATTCTAACACGATTCCGTTAAATTGCGTTATAAAATTCCAATAAACTCGCAGTCAAAAATAGAACATACAATACGTATTTACCTCGTTTCTTAAACTCTCTAAAATAGGTTATTCGACTGCATCATTTTATCATGTTAAGCACACGTCCCGTGTTCATGCTATCATGCTATTGTTTCATGCCGAAGATGTGTGTTTCTTACCCCGAACGAACCTGATGATCGATGTCGGGCCAACTCAGTCTTCTACTGCAGAAGGAAGGTCGTTTGTCAGGAGTGGCTTTTGGTGAACGCTGTCTGAAGGAGCCAGGCCTTCGGACAGGGGGTGCAGGTACGAGACATTCCAATGTGCTGCGACGTCTTTGGACGAGAGCACTGGCACCAGGTGCCGGGAGAACTTTTGGAAAACCGGGAGTGTTGCTATCACCTGAATTGCTACGCGATCCTGGGGGAATTCCTGTGGGGGGTTCCGCCGTGTCAGTTCTGCTTAAGGAAAATCTGCGACAAGGAGAAAACAATTAGATGAGATTGTCAAACCTGTGACAAGTATATGGACTGGAAAAGTGGCTGTGTTCTCATAAATACATAGTCATCAGGCTCTTTCAGAGTCGCACAAGCTAGATGCATAAGGAATGTATTTATTGATTTATCTAAAAAAATTAAAGATCAAGGAAATGACTTCTTTATAAATGTACAGGGTGCTGCATTTTGGATGTCCAAATAGGGAATCTACGAAACTAAGAGGTTTAGCCAAAAACGAGTGATACATTCTGGGGCACATTTTTTGAGAAAGTAATATAGGTTAAAACCGCATTCCGCTATCGTCTTTTGTTTTTGACTTACAGACAAAAGTTGATATTTTGGCGAAATCTAAAAAAAAAATATCTTCGTTATTATAGAAGATACGGATTTGAAATAAAGACACAGGCACTTTTTTACGAGGAATTTAATAATGTAGTTAACAATTTTTTTCAGTTGTTTGTTTAACCGTAATAAAATAAACTTGCATTTTTTTAAAAATAGATGGCCATGTCATTTTTAAAAAGCTGGTTTTTTTCTTATCTAAAAAATATATATTTGTAACAAATTATTATAATACATTTTTAGCAAAAAATTATCTTTGATTTTTGTTTAGTTTTTTTCAGTAATTTGTTTAGCCGTAATAAGATAAACTTGTATTTTTTAAAATGGAAATCATAGGCGGCTGTGGCAATTTTGAAAAGCGGATCTAAAAAATATATATGTATATGTAACAGAATATTTTTTTATAATTGTACTTAAAAAATTAAATACATGTTTTGTTTGATAATATTTGGCCATGGAAAAACTATTTCACACCAAATGTGTAAATAATAAGCAATAAGAGTTTTGTGAACTGTTAAATACATGAAAAAATCAATAAAATTATAAAAATTTAAAAAATACGATACGTTAGAAGTATTGAATAAATACGCGAGCGCGTCAGAACAAAATTATTACATATTTTTCAAAAATCCAAAAATAAGAAAAACAAATGTGTCAACAGTCAACACAATTAGAAAAACCATTTTTTGATGGTCTAATGGATGTAGCATAACGTTTCACATAGACGGAATTTGGATATCTGAATAGCCATATCGTCATATTTGTGTCATATAAAATATATTTTATTGTAGAATTAAAGAGACTTTTTTTACACTTATGTATCACTAGAAGTTATAATGGTAATGTTAGCTTGTTTAAAAACAAAGAAATGTTATTCATCGCCAATAAGTTGATTTAGGATTTATTTTGCATTTTTTTCATTACTTAGTGCTTAGAAAACTCTTTCATTAGTGACACTGGTTGAATAATATAGTTTAAATCCTTTCAGTTGAAGATGCAACATTTTTTCATGGCTAACTGCAAACAAAAATCAAAGATAATTATTTGCTAAAAATGAATTATAATAATCTGTTACAAATGTATATTTTTTAGATAAGAAAAAAACAAGCTTTTTAAATATGATATAGCCATCTATGAATCCCATTTAAGAAAATACAAGTTTATCTTATTACCGCTAAACAAACAACTGAAAAAAAATATTAACTACATTATTAAATTCTACGTAAAAAAGTGTCTCCACAGTGTCTTTATTTCAAATCTGTGTCTTCTATAATAACAAAGATATGAATTTTTTTAGATTTCGCTAAAATGTCAATTTTTGTCTATAAGTCGAAAACAAAAGGTTTTAACTAATATTATTTTCTCAAAAAATGGGCCCCAGAATGTATTACTCGTTTTTGGTTAAACCTCTTTCGGAGATTTCCTATTCGGACATCTAAAATGCAGCACCCTGTACACACTGCCGTGGAAAAATATATTTTATTAACATTAAAATAACTAAAAATAATTTTTTTTATTAAACAAAATAATATACAATAAGCTTTTTATATGTATGAAAACTCAGAATTAACCGGAATACCAAAAGAAAAGATTCTACAGAAAAATACTAGTGAATCGTTTTTTTTTCCAATTGCGTAATGAACTGATATTCTGGCGTTGACGGCATGAAGAAAAAATAAACGATTCCAAAATAAGTAACTCTAAAATTTTATTATTCATAAGAACCAAATTACAATTTTAATCCAAACTTAAACTAATTTGATACGTTCAGCTTCGCCACATAAACTATCACTTTTACTTCTAATAACATAAAATACACAATTTTACAATTACAATTTTTCTCTAAAAATAAAACCAAAATTACCTAAAATACCAAACAATTTTGCAATCAAGAGCAAACAACTAACAAGCGGCATTCCGAACTCGGATGAGGAAACATTTTTAAATTAAAACGGGTTGTATCGGCTTTAGATTACTAGGTTCAATTTTAATCAAAGTTTAATAATTTTTGACGAACGTTATGGATTCAATGAATTGAATTATATTAATCGGAAAACGAAACAATTTTGCAATTATTCATTCCAACTGATTTTCGTTTTCTTATTATTAGCAAAAGCTTTTAAATTCACTTAAAAGCAGCACAAATAAGCGTTATTTTGGTTTCAGAATTGAAACTTGTGTTGTAATGTTTTAAAATTTGCCTTAAAATGGTGGATGCGCCGGGATAGAAAATAAATTCTTTGAATTAGTCATAGTTTACAAGTGATAATAATTCTTGCAACAGGTGACATTAATATTTTGTATTAGATAAACTGTAAAAATAAAACAATTACATCTGTCAAGCTGCATCCTTTCCATAACATTTACTCTAATTTTAACGACTTGTGCTACAAAGCTAAGCAACATGTTGATGTTTGAAATAACCTTGTACAAATAAAGTGCTGCTGTTTTTATAAATTACACTTTACAAAAGTGGTATTTGACGTGTTGGATTCTTAGTTACAAAATGACATTGATGCTAAAATTTGAATTTTCTCTAAATGTGAAAAATTGGGAAAAGAGATGTCTTCTTGTTAAAAAATAAGACACTTTCATTAAGAAATTACTTTTTAACTTATCGATGCCAGTTGGTTTAGTCTTTAGATGACTACATTAAAAGAATTAAAAAAGCGACAAAAATCAATATTTAACACTTTTAATCTCGTTAAGTAACTTTAATATACGACGACCGGTATCAGTAGATATTTAAAATTTTCGATAAATTTTTGCCAATTTAGGTCATAATTGGTGGAGGTAACGCATTAAGAAGATGAGTTTTGTTTTCCGATGTAGGATAAGCACGCTTTGACTTGGTATAAACTACGTATATTCGCTTTATTGATGGAACAATACAAGCCATCGTTTGAAATCTGTTTCAAGAGCAGGTGTAGCGGTACTCGCGGTTTACCAATTCATGCCGACAGTTGCTTCCGTTTGGGTTGTATTCAGCAAATAGTTCAAACTCAAAACAACAAGTATCTTTGAGCTTATGTTGGAGTGTCTCCTTGTTTGCTCGGTTCATTTTACATATTTCCATTCAATAAATGGAGAAAATGGATGATATTCATGCCCTGAAAGTTCAAGAGGTAATTGAAAGAGTAAACTGATTTACGTCTAATTAAAGAAATATTAAATTTTAAAAACAATAAAAAAAATTCCTGGTATTGAATGCTATTAATAGAAGCAGTGTAATGTTATGAACAAAAATGCGCTTCCCGTTATGAAAATTTTAATGAAAAACGGTGTGTACGTAGAAAAAAATATTCTGTAGAGAACACAAAGATACAAGGATCAAGATTATAAATTCTTCAGCTTTAGTTTCAAAATTTTTACTGCGTACCCCTTTCTCAAATTTAATTGCCTTCCTTCATGATTATTGGTTATTATCATGAATTTCTATGTAATAATTATGGTATGTTTTTAACATTTACATTATAAATTGCATCCAAATAACAGTCGTTTTATGACTTTCGCACTTTCAGTCATTTTTTTTAAATAAATTTCCAAGAACTTTTAGCGATACCGTTTTTGTCTACAAATTTGCTGAATTTTATTTCTATTTTTAACAACATAAAAAATACCAACTTCTTTTATTTGAATAATCACAAAAGCAGTTTCTAATAGCACCCATGTAAAGGCGTTTGACATTCATTTTCGTTTAAAAGAAAATTTAATTGTACAAAACAGTGACGTTCATAGATACTTTTAACACAGTAATGTTAAAGAAAGTCGTTTCCTAGGTTGGAACACATTTCGGAGCAGCTTAAGAAGTAGTATTTAGTTATTGACCAATTACTAGCACAGCTGCATTTGTACAAAACAACCGAATCCATTTTTTCCTTGAAATAAAGTAATATTTTTAGCAAAAATTTTCCATTTTCTGCGCTTAGACGACAATACGTAGATTAAGATTACGAACAAAGCAATGTAGACAGCAGTTATTTTCAAAAAAACTTGAAATCCTATAATATTATTCTTAATATAAGTGTTTTCCTTGCTATTTCGTGTTTCATGTTTATTTTCCAGACGGCGCGGCGCGATTTCTTGATGTAATCAGTGACAAGTGGTGGTGCGTGCTTTGTGACTGCACCATAAATTTGAGTGGATCTTAATTCACGAAATTTGCTTCTTGTCTTTAAATAGTAACTCGTGCTGTGTTAACGAGATGACATGGAGTAAATTTAGTGTTTCATATCTCGCCGGAATCGGCGTGAAATCTCTCGTATTTGCGGCAAGTAAAAAGAACAAGATAGTTATCTCATTTGCATAACTTTGGGTTAAATTATGGATTCCAGAGTAGTAGAACGAGCGACATTTCCTTTTTGAAGGAAATTAAGCTTTCGTAAATTTAACGCGAGGAAGATTCATAAACCGAATAAAACAAGACGGGTATAAATTTAAAGAAAATTTTAGATTTCTTATTATTGTTGTTGTTATTATTTGAAATATTAAACTTAATGAAACCACAAATAACACAAGATTTATTTCCTTTTTTTTCCATATATTTGTTTAAAAAATAAATAAGTATACCTCTATGCACAATCTACAAACAATATTTCATCCATTAATCTTTTTGACGTAACAAAGTAGTGACT